GTAAAGATATATAGTTCTGATCTATGTGAGTTATGTATCTATTTTTCTGACTTATCCATGAGAAAAAGATTCTTATATCATATAGAAGGACACGATGTTGCATCACTGTTATGTTTATTATGAGGCTTAGGAGCTTCACAACTAATTAATAATACACATCATCTGCTTTAGTTTTGTCATTAATATTCTCTCTTTTTTGTTTGTGTTGTGGCTCCATTTCTTTTTCTTGTTCGATACACACACTCGTATGAATCTCATAAATGGAAGCATGTTAAGCTTAAACATGGTCTCGAGATTATTCCCTCAGATTTTCTCTTTACAATCAATTTCCTAAGGTAGTTATCAGGCAGTTCTTGATTACAACTCTATTGTTGCTTTTGCTCTTTTACCCATTTTTGGACTTGCATGAGATCTTTTTATTTTATTTTTTTGAACTTGTTAATTTAGTTGATAGTTAACTCATTGTGTTTTCTTGCAGCCACTAAGTTCATTATGTGTACAAAACAAAAACACATGATACTCTGTCAATATTTCATTGTATACATAGAAATTATTTTAATGTATCTTTGCAATTGGTCCAGGGAATGCCTTAAACTGATACCTCACAAGAAGTTTTCATTTGCCAAAATATGGCTCATGGCAGCCCAATTTGAGATACGGCAAATGAATCTAAAGGGTGCACGGAAAATCTTGGGCAATGCTATTGGAATGGCTCCAAAGGATAAGGTATGTCATACCTGCTGACCCTCAGTATGATATTATCTGTAGAAATGAAGATGCTTCAGAAGTTTTCTTTTTGTAATCAAGTGGAACTTTGCCTAATGTTCTTTTGTATTACAACAGATATTTAAGAAGTATATTGAGATTGAACTGCAACTAGGAAACATAACTCGTTGCAGAACTTTGTATCAAAAGTATCTCGAGTGGGCTCCTGCAAACTGCTATGCTTGGTGTAAATATGCTGAGTTGGAAAGGTCATTGAGTGAAACAGAGCGTGCTCGATCGTTATTTGAGCTTGCAATTGCTCAACCTGCACTGGACATGCCAGAGCTGCTCTGGAAGGTATGTAATCTAAACTGTTTCTTTTCATTTATATGATTTCTTTAAATACACCAAGTATGCAAGAAAGAGGCTTATGGAGAAACATAGACTAAAATTTATGTTGTTCGCTTATATGATAACCGATAATATTACTTTATCTTGTCTGAAAGAAGATTTTATCACATGGATGCTTGTGATTACAAATGGGGCATCTGGTCTTAGGCAATGCAACTCTCTTTCCATCTTGACCCATACCCCACTAGTGCATATATTTCCTACCAGCTTCACTGATCAGCGTTTTTTTCAAATAACCTGTAATTTATTGGATAACACTTGTGGATCACCTTATCAACCAATCCAGAATACCCATGTCTTTCTTATATTTGTGCATCAATAGTCATTTATTCTGCTCCACAGATATCTATAAATGCAGGGATACAAATTTGATCGGCAATCATGGTACATTTTGTCCACATCGTAATCTTAGACAAGGTAGTCTTATCCAAATAGTACAGACCTTTTTATCCCCTGTTCTCACATAACTTCACCATGTGTCCATGGTTTTTAAAACTTATGGCCTTCTAAGAACCAAAATCCCATTTTAGTTTAGTTTGTTTTGCATCCTTCTCTATAATTAGAGATGAAAATTTTTGAATCAAGCATTACATTATCACTGCACCATAAAAATTTCATCTTGCACAGGCATGCCTTTGCATAGCTTGAAAAGGAATCATCTCCATTTTATAGCTATAGAACATGTTATCCATTGTTTTCTTATTAACTTCCTCATTATCCAGTCTGCCTGCGTCCTCATAATTCAGACTTCGGAACAAATATAAAGAAAGCCGGTAGTTGAGGAGGTTTTCTCCCTAAGCTTTTATAATTGCATTATTTCTTTTCTTTAGCAGCTATGAGTAATGGATTATGAATCCTTTGGTCATTTATCCCAAATTAGTCTTTTCATGCATCAGTACTTTGTATCTTTTTTTTTTTCAAGTATTTTGTATCTTTAATTTTGCGAGATATTAGAGAATCTTGCAATCCAGAATCCCTAACTAAAGAAGGGAAGTCATGAATTACCTTTGTACATGAACCCATTAGAACTAAAGATGGTCTCTAGGCAATTATGCCAGTTTTGCAATTTGGGACTACAACTACAAGTAATTCTCAAATTAGGACTAATATCAGCATGACAGTTTCTCCAAGTATTACAGAACTAAACATTTGTTGTAACACCTGTATGACCAAGCAACTCCAACTTATTCTAAACCTACTCGAATTGATCAGATCATACATACATCATAATGACAAAGCCAGAGTATGCTTGCTCTTTATGGATCTCTGTTCAGTTGTTATAATTCATAGATACTTTTTAACAATCTAAACATTAGAAGTTCTTGGGTTCTTGCAACCAAATGTTGGTTTTTTTTGGTATTCATATAACTTGCATATAACTTTAGATTATTAATTGGTAAAATAAGTAATGTGCATTACTCCTTATATTCAGTTCCTTTTTTGGTTATATATTAAAAAAGATAGCATTTGGTAGCCAATTATTATCTTGTTCACTTGTGCTCTGAAATGTGTAACTGATTCAGCAAAATCAACCACTGTAAGACCACTCTACCCAAACTCAAAAGATTTTTTCAACAAATGATCTCTCACATGTATTTGGTTTTATAATAATCTTTTTCTTCAGACTGACATATGATTTATGCTTGTACTTGAGATAAGATTGCTTGTCTCTTTTTATGCTGCAAGAGCGTACATAGTTGAAAGAACTTTTTTACATGAGATAGATGTTTTTCCCTAAAATAAGGTGCAGTTGTTGATAAGCTTTAGTAATGGCTATTTGTTATATAGGGAAGTTTCATTCCCTTTCTGTTGTATATGGATATTTTGGCTTTTCCGTGATATGTAGTTTAGCATCATTATCATTTTCCTGGCATCACAGGCATATATCGACTTTGAGATATCAGAGGGAGAATATGAGCGAACAAGGCAGCTCTATGAGAGGCTACTTGATCGAACAAAGCACTTGAAAGTGTGGATTAGTTATGCCAAGTTTGAGGCTTCAGCTGGTGGGGACGATGAGGAGACAGATGATGAGGTTTTGGAGAAGAATGATATAAACAATGAAGAGCGACAAAGGAAGCGGATCGAAAGATCCCGAGGTAATTTGGAATTCAATTTTGCTTTGCTTGTAGTCAGATGTGGATGACTAAAGTTTTTAACTGGATATGTTCAACATCTTGTGGAATGGAGGTAGCTTAATTTTTCATGATTATTCCAACAGGTGTTTTTGAAAGGGCATTTGATTACTTCAGAACAAGTGCCCCTGAATTGAAGGAGGAAAGGGCAATGCTTTTGGAAGATTGGTTGAATACGGAAAGTAGTTTTGGAAGTCTTGGAGATGTTAGTTTAGTGCAAAAGAAATTGCCTAGGAAGGTAAAGAAGAGAAGACCTATATCATCTGAAGATGGAACTCCTGCTGGGTATGCTTATCCCACCATCTTTACTACATTGAAGATCTATTGGTTTCTTCTACTTGTGATGTTTGAATTTGAGCTGACAGAAAGGTGATTCTGGTGCAGGTTTGAGGAGTACATTGATTACATTTTCGCTGATGAAGTAGCTATGGCACCTAATCTGAAGATAATGGAAGCAGCATACAAATGGAAAAGACAGAAACTTGGGGCAGATGATGATTGAGAAGTCAAATGCGATGTGCTTCGTGGCTTTGTACCATTCCTCTTTCAAGGAGCCTATCATGTGGATGCATATGCTCGAGTTTTCACTCAGATGACTAAATTCTATTGGAAAGTAAGTCCTGTCATTTGCAATATCCCTTTATCCCATGTAACTGTAACAATACACTTCCTGATGATCAAACTGCAAGTGCGGCCATCCCTTATAAACTTCTCTCCAAGCTGCAAAAGTTTGAAACTGCCCTGTGGATCGAGTTTTTGCCAAAATTTGTTAGGTTAGTTTGGTTTATATCACCCTACCAATATGTAAAGAATGTGCTTATTTTAAACCGGGGATTTTCAAGGCTATGTAATCTTACTTTGTTTTCCTTTGACATTGATGGAGACTTGAATCCATCGCGGGGAAAGCTGCTGCTGGATTTGTGATCAGGGATGAACATTAATTGTATTCTTCGAGCTGGGTTAGTGTGTTTTTCTGCTGGCTGCCTCTTATCAGTATGGAAAGATTTGGAGACTGCTGCTTGTGATCTGAGGGTGCAGTATGTCATTGCTGTCTCACTCTCTCTAACTTACCTAGGATGCGAGGATATCATTGCTGCTTTACAGGTTTGAGATTTATGATGAACGCAGTGGTACTATATCTGCGGATTGATTGTCCGATGAAGGGGCCCTTTGCCTATTCCTATAATGTTCCCTTTCGATGTAATTTTCTTTCCTTTTGATTTGTGTGAGTTTAATTTGTACCTTTCAAGATTTGCTGGCTAATGAATGCATTCGCTGAGTTACTCCTCTCGAAGCATGGGTCTTTTGATTGAGTGCTGGTTAATGGGATTGATGCGATGAGCATATTCTTGTTCTTGGATAGGTTTTTATGAGACACGCCATGAATTCATAAATAATGGGTCCGTCATTAATGCTCCACACCGTGTTTCTTATGACTCAAAGAAACTAATGGGCTGTTTCCTCAATGCCTGGGGTAGAAAGTTCCAATAACTTAATTGCATGTGTCGTTGGATGCAGGTTTACAGGGAAAATGTCCTCTTTTACGTGGGCCTTTATCACGAAAGCACTTCAACTTTTGTTAGGATCTTAAAGAATTTATTTTACTGTTATGCCAAGGCTGATCCTATACACAGTTCTCGACCTATCATTGGAGCCCCAATAATGTCATGATTGGACCCACATTGGCTGTTTCGTCGCGTAGGCAAGTAAGCGAGTCGGAGATTAGGAGACAAGAAGAGTTCAAAAGAAGTTACCTAGTTTGAACCGCGGTTCGTTATCCCCTTTCGTGCCCTTGTCGTAAGGCGGTCTTCGGAGGAGACGCGGAGGTCTTTGCTCTTCTTTCCCCATTCTTGATCACCGTCCTCCTCCTCCTCCCATCTCGTCTTGGATCTGTCGGCCGGCCATGGCGTCGCAGGAGTACCTCTACAAGATGCTGCTCCGGCAGACCTACCGGAACCTTTGGCTCACCGATCTCATGAGCACCATCCAGGCCGACTTCTCCCGTATGATTCCTTCTGTTTTTCCTCGTCCCTCTATAGTACCTCCTTCTTTTCGACATAACTGATGGATATGTTCCGATCCTCTCTGCAGCCTGCTTTCTTTCTGGCGCTTTGGTGGTAAATCCTCGGCTTTTATGTTGCGGATAGGTCCAGTGTCGGTGCCTTTTTTGGTTTCACCCATAGTTGCTTTCGCCTGTTGCTATCTGGAACATTGACGTTTCCCCAAATTGGTGGATGGTAGACGATTTTGATTTTTTTTTTCCTCCTTTTGATGAATCTGCTCATGGATTGTGAAGATCAAATGAACATAGCAGTTGTTATTGGTGTTCATCTTTTAAATAGTCGGGAAGGGTAAATAAACTCTGAGAATATGTGAGGATTGCTTTGCTGGTTTTTGGTGGTTCTTTTACTGTGAAACTGATGATGCTCTGGTCTCAATCTGTTATCTACAAGGAATAGATTCTTGTCCTTGTCTTCTTATGAATAAATTCCTGTCCTACAAGAAATAGGATTTAGGGAACCAGACATGAAAAAGAAAAAGGCACTGAAAAATACTTCTATCCCAAATGACACTAAACATTAACTTCAGCTGACTCAATCTGGGGCCTTCAATTAATGATGTTCTTGGTTTTTTCTTTTTTGTAGCAATGCTTTCTTCATTAGCTCTTTCTCTACTAGGTTTCATTTATTGGGATCTTTACTAGTGTTTTTGTCTACGAGATTTCCATCTTGAGTTTAGTCACTGTTAAACACCATTTCTAAGCTGACCTTGTTCACGAGATATCATGAACTCTTGTCTGTACTATCTATGCCATTATGTGTCTGGTCGTGTGCTGATGTGTGTCCTAAAAGAAAGCGTAAATTGCTGTTGGGTATTTGTTTGTATTTTGCCTAGTGAAAGGACATGTACTATAAATGGTTGCATGTCTCTATTCACTGTTTTTCCCCCTTTAGGAGCTTGATGATTTCACTAATGCCTGTATCCATGGCTTTACAAAAGAATTTACAATGATAAAAACTGATAAGGTTTGGGCAATTTAGAGAATCCAATTGGAGGCATCTGATTTTAGGAGAGATGCTTCTGATAAAAAGAGTTGTTCTTTTGAAACTCTATTGCATGCATTTCTGAATTAGTTGCACTTATAACTAGGCTTGCTCTTGTAAATAGTGGTCATGTTTCATACTAAAATTACTGCTAAATTATTCTTAGATCTTGTTTTCAGATGCATCATTTGTTATTATTGGATTTTATGTTATCATGTCAAGATGAGTGAAAATTTTTAAACGTTTAAAAGATGAGGTGAATTGTATAGATAAAAGAGATGGGTTCCTGTATTTGGCTTTGCCATTGCAGTTTTTATGACATATTTGCTTGTTGTCTGATCTATTAACACCATGGTGCAGCAAGATGGTGAAGTTTAGACAAAATTGAGATTCTTTTGATGTGACCTTGGAAACTCATTTATGATACAGGTGCATGTGTTAGATGGCCATATCTGAATAAGGAACATGTTCCTCCATTGTTGCTTTTGAAATAGTTGATATCCTTGTCATTTTGAAATATTTTCTTTAGATTTTATTATTTTGCCATATGAAACTATCTTCTAGAGATAGGATATAATGAAATGCGTATTTTTCATGTTATCAGTGGGCCATGCGTTTCCTACATGCTCTGCAGAAGGGCTCTTTACAATGACATGTCAAGGTAATTTCAGTGGGCCATCTGTTGCGCGGGTTATCTACCATGCAGAGGGAAATGTGGAGAAAGTCGATGCCCAGAGTTCTGCTTTTGCGCTGAGGTATTGAAGTTTGAATTACTTATATTGGAGTATTTTGTTTTCAGAAGCAAATTACACCTGGCCCTGTGTATTCATCAGTTATTTAATGGATTGACATCTCGCTCATAATACGATTGTCATAATTGGTTGGTGCTTGTTTCGTTTGCTAAATCTAATTTGTAGATATCTTGGTTGAGTTATTTGCCTCATCTTCCAAAGTAAATCATCTAATTAATAAGTAGGTAATCACTTTTTTTTTACATGTTTTGCCTCTTCGTAATATGTCGAACAAATTTCTGATAATTTGTGCCGTAGCTAATCTTTGAAAGTTTATGATACCCTATATAGTTGCCTGTACAACTTTGTCCTGTCATTTAATCTACTGCTACTGCTGTATGGCTGACAGGCGATTACTAGTGATTCCAGCTTCATGCAGACGGGTTGCAACTTGCAATCTGAACACAAGTTTAATTAGTTTGATTAAAATTGGTAGTAAACATTTACTTTTATCCAGCAGCAGCAATTACTTAGCCTATGAAACAATGGCAAGCTATAGAGATGACTCCATTTAACGTTCTTATGTGATGGTCATGTACTGCTTTCAATTAGGAATATCGTAGCCACACATTCTATTTATGTTAATCTTGGTATTGTTTGATTTAGTGGATATATCATTTTACTATGGCAGACAGACCATCAGGAGGATCATGCTTGGAAGACTGTGTGCCATATGGTACATGAAAAGATGATTTAGTGGATATATAATTTTACCATGGCAGACAGACCATCCATAGGATCATGCTTGGAAGACTGTGCCATATAGTATATGAAAAAGAGGTGGACACATCATGTCTGAGTCCACTCTCAGTTGCCAAGTAATGGATGTAAAACTACACAACTGACCTGTCCTTACATCATTGATATACATCAGATGATAGACTAATTATATAAGATGATGAGGATTAGAGGTACCTTGAGAAAAGTCATTATAATACAATGAAGATTCAATTCAAGTTCACCCTGATTAGGTCAGCCATCAGTGTCATGTGTTGTTTAAATCAAGCTGTTGTGATAGTGACCTGAAATTTTGGGTTAACTTGATAGTCGGCCCATTAAGGTGACACCACTAGGATTCTGGCTAATTGTTGAGACCTAGCTTGAACCAAGAATATATTCCTGCCTATATTAGAATATAGGCATATTTATCACCCTTGTGTTACAATTTTGGTGCATATCTTTACATTTAATTTACAAGAAATCCTTCCATTTTCTCGACTAATATATTTAAACCAGTTTCTTATTCTCTAGCCTTGCATCATAAAACTTAATACCCTGTTTTATATCATTGTACATAATTGATGATTGTCTTTGGCAGAATATATATGACAACTATGGGCTTAAATTCTGTGAGATCTGATAAGATCCATTGGTTTTAGTTTCATTTGCATTTTAGGTTAGTTCAGTTGTCTTTGTGAAGTTATTGCATGTAGCTATCCTGTATGTTGTTTGCGTAGTAAACATTTTGGCTAATAATCATATTTGAAACAACTATATCTCGACTAGCATGATTGGTACTTGAACAAAAACGTGTTTTATTTTCTTTCCAGGTTTTCTTGTGCTTTGGTAATTCTGTTGCCTCAAATCGCTTCTTGCTCCAAGATGAGTTCAACATACAGACGACTCAATGCCAAACTGCATGTGTATTCGGTTACCTTCATCCGACTGGTAATGGGTCAGCCAATTCAAACTTGAGTAGACGGACCCAGTTCATGGGTTGCGACAGTCCAAGTATGGGCCTGTTTCAGGCCCATTAACAGCTGAAAAGAAAAAGTTGATTTTCTATGTGAAATCAGCAGTTACCTCTTAAAATCTGTCTTTATGAATTTAATGCTGGGATTTATGGTTTGTCTGCAACAAGTTGCTTGGGTCTTTTCCATTGTTGCAATGATCATCGGAAGTCAGGAGATCCAAAGAAGCTTCCCAGATATGTCTGACATTGTATACTGGACGTAAGACCCATGTTCTTTTGTTCTCACGCCTTTTGTTCATGTTAAGTGATATTAAAGACCTCATGCATTTACTTGTAATTTCTTTGCAGAGTCTGTGCACGCATGCATGCAGGTCGGAGTACTTAAAGATACACGTTTAAATTCCATGGTTGCAGACACAGCATAAGATTGAGATGGATAAGAGAGACGGCGAGTTTGGGGCACCACCAGTGATGGCTGTGCCTCCAGTCCACCAGATGTCTCGCTTCGATCAGCCTATTCCATGGCATGCTGGATATGCCTCTCATCATCTCAGCCAGCTTACGGGCAACCATATGGCTATTCTCCGGCTGCACACCCTCCACCTGGTTACCCGCATGCTTACCCATATGGTTCTTACCCTGCACCTGGTCCTCCTCCTGCTGGATATCCCAAATAAAATGCATCGATCGAAAAGCCACTCGTTCAAGTGTAGGTTTTCTCATTGTTGTTCTGGTTCTTTTCATTGGTTACCTTAAATCTTTATTATCATGGATTACTAGGTATCATGTTTAATCCAAATGGTTAGCATTTGTGACATTCTCAGTCTGGTCATGCCGATGCACAATATTGTTGGTCGGAAAGTGTCGGGTGCTGCTGCGGCTGCGAATGGTTCTAGCTCTCTACCTCTTCATCCTGCGAGGTCATGCCCAAGCACCCTTTTCTATTTTCTCTTCTCTTCCTATGAAATCTAAATATTAAATATGATCAGTATGTTTTCGGCTCTGATTGTAGGGACGCAACTTGGCTTGTCAAGAAACTGATGAAGTATAATTACCTTCATGCAGCCCCAGGTACGTTCTACAGCCTTTACCATTGTCTTCTCTCAAGAGTTCAATGCATGGTAGGAATCTGAGGCTACTGATTCAGCACGGCCGAACCTTTAATAATCCCAACAAGCCGAGAACATGAAAGTGCGACAATGACGTCCCAACGCACAATGGTGTCGGTGGTGGGCCTCCTCCTTGGCCTTATTCTTAAAAGCAATCCACAAAACGACCGACCTGGCCCATTTAAACTTGTCCCAGGACGGTGTCCTCCGCATCTCTGCCGTTGCCACGTCCACGCTAACCCGCGGTCGCTCCACCACCATGCACTTCCGGATTCAGTGCACGGGCTTGGCCACGTCCGCTGATCCGATGCAATGCACGGGCGCGGCTGCGTCTGCGTCTGCGTCTGCGGATTCAGTGCACTTCCCGACTCCATTATGCGTCCGATGACGCTACGTGGTCGCCATCACCGGGCCCGGCCATGGATGATTGAATCCCTCTCATCTCCAATGCTTTTTATGTGCATATCTCGTGATCCTCGTGCTGAAGAATCCTGCCGCTGAAAACAATCTTGGGATCTATCGGTACCAAAACGTCAAATCATGACCTCAACGTATCAGTGGTAGGCTTCTTAAGCAATAAATGATCATCACATCTTTCTTTGGATCGATTCCTCCGTCTTCAATCATGCCTAAATTCGTTCTTTACCTTGATTCATTTAATAAATAAGAAAATAGTGTTCGATCAAGTTGCGTACCATAAATATCTAACCACACTGGTCCGTTGTTATGGTAACGTGGTCTAGAGTCACATGGGATTATTGGAAAAGTCTAAATGATCTGCAGCCGAGCAACACATCCTCTTCGCATTGTCGGAGTCATATCGTTGGTATTTATGACATGAACCATGATAAACATATGGGAAGAATTCGAGCAATTATTATATGTGGCATGGATGTGTTAGTGATTGAATGGACACTGTTTTGCGCACGTTGGGACATCATCGGGTTGGATATAAGGACAAAATGCGAGAAGTTTATGGATCCAAAGCGAGGGGGGGGGTTAGCACAGGCTATTTCACATAGATTCAGATCCACAATAATGTTGAGTCTAAAGCGATCGATCGAATTGGGGTTGGGTCGGATCATTTGTTTCCTCCGATTAGATGACAGGTAGGGGCATCATATGGAGAGAATCATCCCAGAAAAGAAGAAGAAGACTATGATTGGGGCGGCTACGGGGGTAAGATTGAGAAACCGGGAGGTCAAAACCCCCGTGAGACGAGACGTGTGTGAGTCGGGTGGGGGTCTTGGGGGCGGACTTTTTTGACGGGCGACATGACGGTCTGATGACCGAGAGAAAGGGACACGGTGAGAGGAAGTTCACGTGAGGAGATGGTCCACACCACATCGCTGCCCCCCACGTCCTTTGCATGGAATGGTGCCCACTGAAATGGCACACCACCAACCATGGGAAATATGTGCGTTGCGACTGTGTGTGTGGTTGCCAACCCCCCATCTTTTCCCTTGGATTCCTCACCTGTCTCCCTTGGATGGGTGGAGGGAGAGAGAGAGAGAGAGAGGTTGTCCGAGGCGGCTGATGAGAAGCATATAAATCTGAGGTCAGGATGGGCGAGCAGGAGCAGAACGGACAAGATTAGATTAGGCATATTTTAGTACTAAACTTGGGGGTTTTCTTAGAATTTTGCAATGGTGGCATATATTCTTGAAAAAGAAAACAAAAAAAAAAGTCTTCACTTTAAGGAATAGTATTTTACCATTGGTTATCCTAAAGAACCGTTACCTGTTGTTTTCAGCAGCATAGGATGCAGACTCGGACATCCCACCAACCGTTTTGATCGCGCCTACTTTTCTAAGTTGGGATTAGTGATCGAGTAGGATGAATAAGAATAAATATATATAAATCTATCATTTTCATGCTAGTTTAGTGGATCAATCTGTGAGACAATGAAAGAGAGAGAGAGAATATAAAGTTGAAGAGAAGAAAAGAGGGAAAGAAAAAGCTTCTCCACAATGATACAATCCGAAATCATTCAAAAGCTAATCCTACTACTACTACTACTACTTTCTTGCATATTCCCTTCATACTTGACATCCTACACACTCGGTCGCGGTGGGACGCTTCTTCTCCTCGTGCCTTGTGTGAATCCAATCAACATATCTGCGTACAGACATCTTCTGTATTTTACTCCAAAAGACCTCCGGCTTTTACCGACATTATATTTCAACTCCACATCTTAAGACACCCATACGGTAGAATAAATTTCCAGGTCTAATGGTTGAAAATTTTGATGTGTTTGTGAACAGAATGGGATCGATCGATATCTTCTTTTCTAAATAAAAAGGACGCGGGGACTCTGAAAAGAAGCAAGCCACAAAAAAAAAAAAAAAGGAGAGGCATGCTGTGTCTGTAGTTCGCCTACAGCTAAATCTCTCTTGGTGTTTAATTTCTCGGCCATCAATTGCCTGCCTTCACGAAGAAGAAAGAGAAAGAAAAGTCCAAAGCGTCGTCTCCAACTCCCACTTTGTTGTGGAGTCTCCACTCACTCCAAAAAGGACGGGGGACCAGCTCGCAGACATGGGCACTGTTAATGGAGAGACGTCCGGGGGGCGACAAGGACCCCTAGCTCTTCCCCCCCTCTCTCCGGTCCGGATCGAAATGCCAGACTCCTCTCCCTGGAACCGCTAGCGAACGAAAGAAACGAAGGCACCAGTATGCAAACCGAGTAGAATCCTTTGCTTTGATGCTGAAGCATCAAAAAAATCTCTCCCATACTCGATAGGATGGAGGAGGAGGCCACAGCGTGGTGTCGTTTTCCGGACTTGCAACCTGCACAAACATGTCTGACACAGCAGAGCAGCTACCACGACAAAAGATCATCATCGTTAGACATCTGTCTGTTGATCCGGTTTGAGGTGTGCGTGCAGGGAAGATCTCTCCTGGTTCCAGGAAGAGATAAGACGGCCATGTGAACTCCAGCAAGCAGGTCAGGGCTAATGAATCCAGCGGCGAAGTGGTCCTCACATTCTGCCTCAGAAGATGAAGAACCCAATTTGATCGTTCATGTGGTTCTCTCTCTCTCTCGAGAGAGAGAACCATAGTACATGGATACAGCTTGCCATGGTCACATGGCAAGTGGCCCGTGCTTTCGGTTGCTATGACACGAAAGAACAACTCGATGAGAAGAGTTAATGACCCGCTCAACAGCAAGGAGAGAACAAAAAGGCAATGGCCGGCAAGTCAACCCTACCCTACCAACTTCCCACACAAACATAACTGCACCGAATAAAGGAGAGATAATAATGCTGTCAGACACCGACCTTCCTTCCTATGTGAGTTCTTTTTATCTCTACTATCACACTACGCTTTGTGTACGGAATAGTTGGAGATAATGATCTTCCTATTCCTTGAAGCACGAATTATTTCCCCCTATGTTTACTTTCCCAACACGGTTCAACCCAACAGTGGCAGAGGGGTGCTGAACCCCCACGGCACGCCTCTATTTGCTTGCAAGTATGGAAAACCAAGTAGACGACGATGAAGCTGGAAGAACAAAGCGGGGTGGTTTGGCTTTTACCGGATCAAAGACTCCTACTGTACGGGATGTGGTAAAACCTCAGCATCAGCATCAGGATCGTGGGCGTGGCAAAGTAAAAAAAAGAATTGGAGCAGCCTCAGCCTCCCTGAACCTACATACAACAAGACAAAAGCTGATCCCGTCAATGGTCATAGAGAGCGTTGGAGGAGGAGGAGGAGATGCAAGACACCGAAGTGGGTGGCCCAGAAGCCAGCTTCAGGGCGGCTCGCACCTTCCTCAAACCATCCTTTTCTGCCATTTAAAACAGGGGAGGGAGGAGCAGTGTCATACCATCTGATCTCTGATTCCACAGCAATATCTCATTTGTTAATGACCTCTCCAACCATAACAGTTCCATCACCAGATTCACAGCCCTACCAAACTCCTCCTCACGATATATATCGCCCGGGCCAGAGGAGAAGGTGATCGGATCTCTCTCTGTACCCACCCGGAGCATCATCCAGAGGTGCTCTCCATCCTGTCTGGCTCGTACAACTCGAGCAGAGCAGCGGAGAAGAGGAGGAGGAGAAAGACTTGGATCTGCGAAGCTCAAGTCCCACCGTACAACAGGAGACCAGGAAGAGGGGGGAGAGGAAGAGGAAACCCAGCTCAGAGGCCTTGCCATACTCTTCTTGGATCAACATGGGGTTCCCGGTGGGCTACTCGGAGCTGCTGCTGCCGAGATTTCTCCTCCACATAGCCTTAATCCTCGGCTACGTGCGGCGATTCATCTTCCGGGCCTTCGACGCCGTGGGCCTCGGCGACCTCCTCGACACCGACGCCCCTTGGCCTGAGAACACTGGCCACCGCAATCTCGACCACGACCACCACCACCACCACCACGGCAACCTCCAGCAGCCACGATTTCGGTCGGTGTCGGCGATGCTGATCCAGGAGGCGCTTCCGGTGGTGAGGTACGAGGAGCTGGCGGCGGCGGGGCAGCACGTGGGGGGCAGCTGCGTGGTCTGCCTCTATGACTTCGAGGCGTCGGAGGAGGTCCGGAGGCTGAGCAACTGCCGGCACGTGTTCCACCGCGGCTGCCTCGACCGGTGGCTGGAGCACGACCAGCGGACGTGCCCGCTCTGCCGCACGCCGCTCGTCCCGGAGGAGATGCAGGTCGCGATCGACGATCAAATGTGGGCAGCCGCCGCCGTCCCGGACTCGTACTACGACGACTTCTTCTTCTCTTTCCCGTTTGCATCGGCCTCGCCGCCGAGCCCGACTCTGCTACTCGCCCACCAGCTCTTCTCTTCCTCGTAGGTGGAGAAGAGACTTGGATCGGCCAATTGTACATAGAGTAAGTAGTACACCACTGGAAGGTGAACGGCAGAAACAGAGCATAAAAAAAAAGAAAGAAAGAGTTTGAAGTTTCCCGAGGAAAGAAAAGGAAAAAATAAGTAAAAATAACAAACAAAAAAAAGAAAGAAAGAAAAAGTATCGGAGCCACTGCTTCTTCCCCATGTGTAGTTTGGTAAGTGAATATAATTCGTATTGCAGAGTTGAAGAGTCGACTGCAAACCTTTCTCTTCTTCCCTTTCGCTTGTGAATTTTGAGGGTTAAGCTTCGGTATATGAAAGAAAGATCGACGGAGACGAGCTCAAGCTTACCGGATAATGAGTGCGGCAATACCAGCTTGAAGAAGAAGATGGTCGTCGATGCATCATCCCCCTTCGCAGAGAAGAGAGCTAAAATATGTTTAGCTAGTTTCATGTAAAAATCCTTTTTCTTGTTAAGTTGGGTGCAAATTCTAACCACTCTCAAATCAACTGCTGGGTAATAAATATTTCTGTTCTTGCCGGTATAACTAACCTTCACGATTCTTGTCTTCAGAATCACACCAACACCAGCTTGTAGAAATCGTTGATGATGGGATCGAAATCTGTAAGTAATTATTTGGATTCCTGAATCATAGTAATTCTTTTCCCCCTCTGCCAGGTGAGGCGGAAAAGAGTGATGACAACTTTCTTGAAGTGGAGCAGCCCCAGGTGATTGAGAGCCAAGATTCCCGGAGGAGTCATGAAACTTTAATGGGCATGGTTGCTATTTACTTTGCCACAGCCTCCCTGACATTTATTATAAAGGCTTTACTGCGACCAGATTCCAAACAACCTACACCGGCCAGAAGCATCATATCAACTTATCCATCTGTAATATCTTCTCTCGCCCGATCCTTTGCAATCGCATCTTAAGCTCCATCTCGATGCTCATACGCAGAGAGATGCCAAAAGGACTTGAAATGTGCAAGGAAGAAGGTGTTCTACTACCAGCAGAAGAAGAATACCCCCATTTTGTTAGTGTGAAGCTACAGGCTTCATCTGTGGAAATCTTACCTCTTTCCGGTGCCCCAGGAGTACAGTGATAACCTACATGCAACTAGAAACAATTATAATCAGAAAAAGTAGAACCACTTCCAACATTTTATTGCATAAACTTCAACAATAAAAGCATACGGCCAAACACAAACATGACTCTTAAGGGAACACTACACGAGGAACAATGGCAAATATTTATCCAATATTATTAATCATGTCGCACTGGAAAAGAAAAATCTAGAAAAAGAAAGGAAAAACAAAGACAAATTATATCTCAGATTACGACAGCATGAAATGCTGACGAAAGGAAACACATAACACATACTCAAGAAGAAACAGAGCACAAGTCCAACACAACAAATTACGTACTTGCACAATTTATCATAATTTTCAAAATCTTGACTTGACTATGAAGGACAGACTCAGGAATTTACTAGAAAAAAAATGTAATAATTCAAACGTATAATACCTCAATGCTTCAATGTGATATTTGAACTAATACAGATAAGAAAATAAAGCATGATCATACAATCACGAAATTTACTAGCATTATGCTTGGGTTTAGCAGCCATGCAATATCTTGGAAGTGATTAGTCCTGGCCTACACTCATTATGTCAGTGATGCAAAACAATCACATGCTATAAAACCTTTTTCCCTTGTAATATCTTGAAAAAGAAGAAAGGAGCAGTAGAACCTCAGATCATGACCAAGGCAATGCCAGATTTCTGATAAACAGAGCAGGCTCAGACGATTTGTGATTGATTATGTTCGAAATGCACTTCAAGCATAACTGGTTGCATCACGGTGAGCCGGTCATTCATGATGCCTGGCACCAGGGCGACTGGGAGAATCAAACCATTGATCATCTCTGAACATCCGTTGGTTATGCCACAGAGATTCACTGCCTTCCAGATAATTTAGGAGCAACAGTACTACCTTCAGCTTTTGCATCTAGACCATCATGATCACTAGACCTGGAGATACTAGAGCAAATACAATAAATATACATGGATATGAAGATAGTAAGATTATTATATCCAATTACTGAATAGACAAATCTGAAATTTGACCTATTTTTTCAAATATCATGACTGAATATCATGATCATTACCTGCTTAATGTGAGATTAGAATATTTTGGCCTCTTGACTCGAGCTGATAAATCTCCCTTAGATGACAAGCCAGATCTTATCATGGTTTCATCAGCACAATACACATCTAAAGAATCAGCATCGTTCTCTTGTTTAACACTGCCAATCCCATGATCCAACAAGCTATCTCCTACAGCCATCAAGCAACCGATCCCATCCCGATGATTTGATTCTGACACTTGCTAAAGGTTTGTTATCACCTTCATCATTAAACCAAATGTTTCTCATTGCGTTATTTCTACCGGCACCACATATGCTTCATTTACACTTCTTTGTTGCCATTTAATGCCAAATAATTTGCATGATCCAGTATACCTACATCTCCAGAGGCTCTCTGTCCTTGTCCTTTATTAGGACTGTCTGATTCAGATAAGTACTTTGATGGGGATTGAGAAACAAAAACCTGCCTAACCTTCCGAGCATTTGCCACATCAGCAACCAACAATTTCCTCTCTTTGCATACCATTTTCTTAATGGAAAAGGCAGCAAAAGCATGTAAACCAGAAACCGCTTCAAAGACATCATTTTCAAAGATATCATTTTCTTGGCTGCTAGACCCATATCTGCATTTTCAAATTCCTCCTTGTTAACTCCATCTTCTCCCAACAACATATAATACATACTGTAAATCTACCAACCTGATGCATCATCTCCAGTTTTGTGGGTTGGCCAGTACCAACTTGTGGTGCATCTGCATCATGGTTGTGATGGAAGTTTGCACAACTATCCATGTAGATTTTGCTAGTTGCCGAGTGTCCATGTCACCATCTATCACAATGGCACCAGTTTTTGCCACAGCCATAAGAAATGGAGTAGAAATAGGGGTTCCGGAACCAAAATAATTGTTGTTATCAACTTTCAACTGCAGAACTACAGGTACATCTATCAGGTTTTTCTGATACCTCATTAGCAATGACTGTGCCAGCCACATTTGCAAGCTTTCACCAAACTTTGAAGGACGTGCTGCATTCTCTTAAGTGAAACTGACAAATTTCGAGGTCTTCCAGCTTCTCATTGGGATTGTTATTTCCAACAACAAGATCAGTGGCCACTGCCACAGAGATCAGATTATTCCATGCATCCGTATCAGCATCAAGGTCCTAGTGACGCCGGGTAAGAGGAAGACCTGTTTTCATCAGAAACATTTTGCTGATATTATTAAGTGGAGTTTTTTTTCCATTCTGGGATCCATCAAATGTAATTTCATCTTCAGCATGCATAAACAAAGAAGTTTCCATTGGGACCTTACAATTTCCACAAGGACATTTGTTTACAAGAAATTTTATCCATAACCAAGTCCCCTTTAATCATAGTGGCACCCACCATTTCACTATTTCAGGCAACAGTGGCAAATATCAAAATACCAGAGAAATCTGCAGCAAATCTTTTGTCATGAAGTTTGTCATATGCTAAATGCTCCTGGTATGAAGCAGGCTGGCTGTCTGATAGATGATCAGCTGAATAAGACAGTGGAGATGATGGAAAATGAGCGAGTAGAAAACTCCTTTTCTTTATGGGAGTAACTTTAAGTGAGCCACTTAGATGTCCTCCAAGAATGCTTACACCACCCCTGTAGTCAGAACAGACATCTGTTGAAAATCCTAAACAAAGAGTTCCAGTAGAAAGAGGTAATACAGAAGAGTACTAAAGTCTACAGAGGCAAAGCAGCTCAAATTAGAACCTATATCTTCTCAAGTCCTTTGAGAAATTTGATGATGCACTTCATTCTTACCCAGCAAATGAAGTTCGAATCATCTTACAGCAACTGCCCCCTCTCGGTGGCTGCTTTCTGATTCAAATTAGAACCTATATCTTCTCAAGTCCAACTTCACTTAGTTTTTTCATTACAACCACAAAATGTGCCACCATGACTCTTGCAAGACTCTGATCCTTGGTGGTTTTCAACTTTGATCTACGGCCTCCAGAAGTACACAGATGGATCTGCAAGGATAACATCCTCATTTAGACATGAATCATACTGAGAAGTAACTCCATACTATTCTTATATCAAGCTTATACATGTTGGAGGATTATAGAGAATAACAACCAGAACCATCATCCTGAGAATCTAAACTACATTCAAAAACATTAAATGATTTTTAAAAGAATATAACACCAACTAGCATGCTCAAATTGATAAAACCAACCACTGACTCAGATTCCATATAGTTTTTGAAGCCCAAACACGAATGGATTGAATGATCAACTAGCAGGTTGGGAGCAACTGCAGATGATCTTTGAAAAGCAATAAATACATACATGTTAAAATTGGATCTCAAGGCATTGTGTCATACAAATGGTACAATATTCCTAACAAAAAGGCAAATAATCTATGGCACAAGTGTGACGGACTAAGTTAGTTTTGCCTCTGCACAACGACCACACACAATCTTTGTGTACAGGACTGAAGTGCCTACAAAAGCCAACCAAAATGGGGTTGCTAAGCTTTCTGCAAGCCAACTACATGCTAGCAAAGCATGAATAAAACTGAAAGACACTGACACAGAAACATTACATTAAACATCTTATGTACAGACTTGTCCGTGACATTCTCCCCCACTTGTTCCTTCGATGTTCTCGTCGAAGCCTTTGCGAACGTTGCATCTCCTCGCCTTTACTACATGGACATTCTCCCCTACTTGTTCCTTCGATGTCCTCGTCGAAGCTTTTGCGGACGCTGCATCCCCTTACTTTTGCTACATCTTCAATCTTCTGCTTCAGTTGCAACGTACCTCCCTCAGCTTCCAACTACTCTTCGCCGTTGTTGTTGAGTAGTCAAACTTTGATCCACCAACATTGCTTCAACTCACTAGTGACTTTAACTCCGGTGTGGAGTCCGTCAAGTTGTGCTGATCTTCGTTGGTTCCTATGGATCCCTCAGATGAAGGAAAAGGCCTTCTCTATTGTGCGTCATTCTCTCAAACGTCTCGCGTCACTTGAACATAATGGATGTCTGTTGGAGCTTTAACGAGCATTGTCTCATCGATTCTTAATTTGCTTAGTCATCACCTTAAAGTAGGTTTGCATTACTTTCGCTTTCGATTGACATTCTGTTAGAAAATGAAGTAGACAATCTACTCTTAGTAGAACCGATCACCAATGGTGAGGATTTGACAATCATTGTCTATCACTATGTCTCTTCGAAGGGTCTTTGAACCAAGGTTTGCCGTATCGTACCGTACCGGCGTTTCGACCCGCGCTCGGTACGGTACGGTACGGGTGTACCGACCGGTATACCGAGGTGTACCGAGCGGTACACCCGGGTGTGCCGAGCACTGTAGCAGTGCCGGAACGGTAAAAGGCGGTCCGCGTACCGAATGTCTGTCGGACCGGTACGTACCGCCCGTACCGGGCGATACTGTTCGGTACGGCAAACCATGCTTTGAACAAGTATAGAGCTCCTCTGCTGGATGACTAAGAGAATTTGGATACTCTATTTCGCCCATTCTTTTAAGAGTTAAGAGTTGAGAAGGCTAAGGGTACTTGATTTCGCCCACCTCCTCGAGAGTTGTACTTTATGCATCAAGCTTATTACTAGCCTTCACTTCCTCTTTGCTCATTCTTCTGAAGCTCCTGAAGTGTTTACACTCCTTACACTGAGTTAGCTACTATGATTCATCTTCTCATTGCCATTGAACTTTTATAATACAAGAAGTTTTGCCCGAAAAGGATAAAATTTTACCCCGAGTGGAGCAAGTCTCTGTTCATTTTGGTTGCCTCTAGCATTATACCGCCTTCTCTATCATTTTTGTCGCCTACTCCGCTAAGCAAAAAGAGTATAGCACCATGTATTGCCAACTCCGTTCCTTGGCTGAGCACTCGTGCATCGACCCGAAGTCCCCCATTTTTGGCTATCTTGATGAGAAGCCAATCGACACCAGTCTTACAAAGTTTCTTTCCTTTACCCTTCTGCCTTGTCTTGATACTTGGATTTTGCATCTGTATTCTCCACCTCCTCAGCCCCTTTCCCGACTATGTGCTCTCTTTCTATGACAGCAAGGGATCGGTGACTCTATGAAAGTCTCATGGCCTCATGGCGCTTCCATGCTCATGACCCTACTATCTGTTGCCTCACATTTGCATCCCTTTCTTTGTGATCGATAGATCCACCCCTACGGTATTGTGACACTCCTCCAAGTCTACCTTCATTCTAACCAACGCTTAGTTTTGGGTAGCTAAGTCCCTTTGGACTTGTCGTCGCTTCCTCGCCCCTTCCGACCACCTGCTTCAACACCTCTGTACTCTCTAAGCAGTTCACCTTGGTCGATGGAAACACAGACTACAACTCTCATGCATGACCTCCACCATCATATTGCAGGGCTCACGTTGATTTTGCTCTCTTTTGCATCATTGATAGCAATGTTTGCTCACTCAGCTTTATCCTCTAACTTGCCAAGCTCTCTCGAGCGAATACGAGCTCTAGAGCGGTCCAACTCTCCAATCTCTCTGATCATACCTTTGTATGATCAAGTGTCCTCCATGGGACTCACTGATACTTGCACTAGAAATTCCCCCTTAGTGATACACAATCCTCATATGCTAATGATTAAGGCTTTCATCTGATCCGAAATTTGGTGCATACACAAAAGACTCGCCATTGCGGTACCATGGCATTCACATCTTGAATCTATAGTCCTTGTTATATTGCTCACTAAACTGGAGCTCCTAGTAGCTTCTGATCATACCTCCGCATGATCAAGTCCCTCAAGGGATTTCTCCGTGTTGTCGGATTACCTCGAACCATTCCACTATGATCCACTGCACCATGTCGAGTGACATCTCCATTGTATTCTGATTTTTGTGTGATGAACTCGGATTGTGATCTCTCTATGTGTGGCTTCCGCTAGCACATCGTAAGGCCCTCGCCACCTCCGATTGTGTTCGCTACTTTGACAATCGATCTTCGTCCACCTGCTCTCGAGCCATACATGGACGAAGTGCAGTTCTGGGACAATCCGTCGCTTAACAACTCTCGAAGTCCACTGACTTCGCTGAAGTTGGTACGTCATTGTCCGGATCCTAGGTCTTTGCCCCTAACACAATTTCGTTGCATGCAACTTCCTTTACAATAACTCGTACTTCAATAGTGCCTGCCTCCACGTCCTTTTATCCTGTGCCAAGGCCTTCTGACTTTAACTTTGCCTCCATAAGTTGAGTTACCTTAATTCTTTCGTCAATTGCTTCATCGAGATAAGGTGCATGTGTCTCGAAGTTCCTTTCGAGTTTGGCACCATATAATATGAGTCCGCTCCATTAGAATGAGGAACCCATGAAACGACATGATTCTGTTCTTGCCTCTACAAGAGTTCATGTCCTTGACCTTTGTCCAAGGAAATGTTTGTGTCTTCGCTTTATATTTCGTCTTTTCTGTCGACTCCCTTTATATAGCTTGGGCACTTCACCAAGTTCACCCAAGGTGCTCCGCTCCTCAGTTTGTAATGAGATAATGGTGGCCCTCACGCCCACCATTCCATGGGTTAGCTCTCCATTGAGTTTGATCTTCACATCGACTCTAAATGTGCCTTCGTTTGGTATTACTTTGGGTTGCTCTCCCACTTGATCTCGTAATGCGTCTATCAATGCATTACCTCGTGCCCCCTTTCAACATGTGCGGTCCGTTGCACATGGATCTCCCTTTGGAGAACCAAAATTTATTCCTCTTGGATACTTATCTCGTTGAAGAAACTTTCCTCTTCACATCCTTCCTTCTAGAAGTTTCAGAGACCACCATATCCTTAGACTACTCTGGCTTGTTGAACAAACTAAGCACTATTTCGCCACTGTGAACACAATTACGAGATTATGACTCTTTGTCATTACAACCCTTATTGCACCCTTTAAGGCCTAGCAACATGCTGAACCTATTGCACATTTTAGCCTCCTACGAACATATCCTCCTCATGCTGAAGAGAAAGTTTTCATGCTTCATAGCATCGAGTTTCGATCGCCTTAGGATGCCCACGAGCAGTCGATTGTCTATATACAAGCTCTTGCATGAGTACCGAATTATCTAAGTTAGCAATTCCTCTCACCTCTGCGAGCTTTGTCTAAACTCTTATGATCGCTAAACAACTCATCCCTTCTTGCACAATCTCATCCTTTGCTAAGTGCCTCGACTTGCCTTGAGCATCATTAAGTTTGGTTGTCAACGTTGTAGCTCGAACTCAGCTATCTCAACCTTTATACGCTACACGTTCTTCCCAACTCGTTTGTCCTCATGGTGCCTCTTACGTAAAGTGTTGGTTATTCCTCTAAATATCAATTTTAGATACTAGCTCCTCTAAGCAACTCTTTTCCCTAGTCTTTATGCCCGTTTACCTCAATCCGTTGCACATAATGGCTACCCTCAACGTAGCCCTACTAGGTCCCCCACATTTGCATATCAAGTGTTTCTAAGTGTGCTTGTCCCGCTCTAATACCATTTGTCACAAACTTACTGGTTTTGCATCTATGTGACTACCACACACAATATACGTGTACAAGATTGAAACGGCTACAAAATTAAACCAAAATGAGACTGTCAAGCCTACTACAAGCCCTCATGCAAAGCATGAGTAAAACTGTTACCCATGACACAAGGGCCATAGGGCTGATAACACTACTTGTAAATATCATTCTAAATAAATGTATGGGCACGTTCTGAACCTTTTATTTCAATTAAAAGGTAGTACAAATTGCTGGAGACAGATTAATAATGTTACCGACCTAAAATTTTCAAGTATTAACAGTATATAAAATCTAGCATAGCTCCTGTCATGACAGCTGGGGACAATGTCCACAAGAGAAAAAGTAGCAATGGCTCTCTCAATCCTTATTAAATAACCCATTCCTAATGGATTATGCATACTGATTAGCCTGCTCTACAAGTTTTCCTACCACAATTATGTCCTTATTTAATAAGACAATCACCTCTGCTACATTTATATTAAAGATTTCCAGATCGATAGAACCACAGTCTGCAACAAAAAGATGCAAAGGATTGATGATGCTCATCCGACTAACTGGAAGAGTAAGATACAATTTCAGTCCCACATGATCAGAAATCCTGGGCAAGAAAAGGCTCTCTAGATAAGAAACAAACAGAACAAGAAAGAATGTAGCCTAACTTGGAAAGCAGAGGAACAATCTTGGAGAAACTATCCACTCGCAGAAGTGCTAAGAACCAAGTTTCTCGAAGCAAATTTTCAATACTAAAAAATCCAATGACATCTAAAAACCCCAGTAATATCCACATCGAGAACAAGGAACAATGCCAATCTCCGCTGATCAAAGATGTAGCCTGCTCTTAGAGATGGACCAAACCTAAAGAAGGGGATGACGATGCAGACACCAGATTCAGGCTCAACATGTGATCTATCTAGGACCTGCTACATCCTAAAGAAGAGGACGAAGGCATCAACAGAAGATCCGGGACCGAACCAAGATGAGGTCAAATTGCAGCAACAATGTCCCGTCACCTTCGTTCTCCAAGATCCAATCGATGCCCTGAACCGAGAACTTCTCATCAATTACTCCTCGCAGTGTGCATGAAGACTCGGTCCGTGCTTCCCAAATCCGTTACCGACAAAGACCGATGATCCAGAGCCAAGAACGTCATCCACGACCATTCCCTTGTCCTGTCCTGTCCTGTCACCAAAGAGCCAAGACTCCGTTCCACCCAACGGCGATTTCCACCACGGCAACACCCTACGTCCGTCGAGCAGATTGGACTCGAAAGACGACTTGAACAGGCGTGAGCTAGGTTTCGATACCTGGGCATCAAGGGTTGCGATGATCGGCCGCCTTCTTTTCGACGATCCCTTGCCTTCTCTCTCCTCCGCCGCGTACATTATTGTTGCCGGCATCTTGTTCTTGTGCTTGAGGCCAGACACCAGTTCCTAGTTTTTGCGGTAGTCCCCTTCCTCCTCCCGACCACCCCCGGTTATCAATACAATTACGATACCGCCCTAAGGGGTGGGTGTTCATTTGACCTAGTGATGTCTATCTGGGCTGACAGGTCCAGCTTCCATCTCCAACACAAAGACTGGTACTAGAGAAAGCATTGCTCCCATTGGGTTATGTGGGTACAATGCCGGTTCGAGCAGACTCGATGGCGGTCCGAGAAAAGCCGACGCGTCACTGAACCGCAAGTCGATGAATCGACGCGACAGGTTTGCGATGTAGCGAGTTACTCGGTATTCCACGACCGACAAGCCAATGCAATCACTAAATATCAAAGGCTGCGCAGGAGCGCTCACTCAAAAGTTATCACGTAGACAGTGGAATAAGATTAAAATAAGAGGTAAATAAAAAGCTTCATCATGGACAAGAATTACCTTAGATCAGATCAAAGGCCATTCGAAACCCCAAAAAAAAAACACTAGTAAATTGTTTGTACTTATATTCTACTTCATTTACCTTAGCTGTGACAAGGTTAATGATCAAAGCATACACACATAACAGATCATTATGTGGCATTTAAGAGTCACTTAGATGACATGAATTGCTTGCTATATAGAACAAGTTACTGATTTATGACAACTTACTAATTGCAAAAAGAATACAAGACCACCAACTCGAAACCCTGGAGGGCAATCTCATTTACTCTTATCTCCTGCACCTGTAGCTGCCAATTTACAATGAGTTGGGCTATGAAGTTTGAGACACCAACCTAACCGCGAGAACTAATTGATACAAAGAATTAAATAACAAGAAAAGAAATGAACAAATTATGATAAAGCATATCTGGGTCTGTCACTGGGAATGCAGAATCAAGCACAACCATTTATTTCATCTCTAACACATCATAAGTGTACCCAAATTATACAGTTTGCAGTGGCTATCAAAGATGGCGCATTGCAAAATCTATTTAGGTAATCAAGAGAACTCCAAAACCGTTTTATCTTCAGTAGGCATGTTTTCTATTCACATGGTGATGTGGCTGGCCTTCATTCATTTGCAAAATTGACTCTAATGAGAACTGTTGACACAATTGGAGAATCATGGGACTATACTGCCAAAAATTCAAGGGGCAACAGTCCCCAGTTTCCTCCATCCTCTCTTCTTTTCTGCTCCATATTGCAAGCATCCATCTTAGCTCTGTGATTTCCTGCGACACAAGTAATTAGTTCTTTCCTTTTTCTATTATAAGGTACTTTCTTCTTCCAACCTTCAGCTAGCTCTCCTTCAAGCTACACAACTGCAGCTCTCAGTATTGTACATTTATAGAATTTAAAGGTAGGGTAACATCCATAATGAAATTCAATAACACGTTATTATAAATGTAATGTCTAAACTCCAAAAGAACATTTTTATTTTATCAAAAGCTTCATGAATGAAAGTTTGGAACTTCAATCAATCTCATTTAAAACCTAAAATTGCGCTTTTGACTCTTCCTTGTGTGTTGTAATTCCCATAACTTATATAAGTTGGTACAATTGTTTTGGAAAAGTTAGAAGCAACCTGCTCAAAGCATGAGAATCTAGATCACCAATTACCATTGGAGATGTGCAGTCTGTGGTCATTTTGGACATTGATAGACACCAAGGTGAAGCTTCTTAAAAGAACTTTAGTATAACCTATTATGATATTCTCCTGCCAGCAGAAAATTGTTATTGAAGCCATTGCTTTAGTGCACTATCAGCTTATGAACCCTTGGCTAGATAAAAAAGCAAAATGGTCACAATTATGCAAAGTAAACTAGTAATTGGTTATGATGTCTAACTAGATGACTAAGACAGGCTAAAGGAAAGATCAAATATCACCCTTAAAGATGAAGTACCTCAAGAATAATGATAAACACCAAATCTTACCAATAAACAATTATAGGATGTCACTTATCCCATTAAAATGCTTCATCAAGTTGCAACATGGACCCAAGATATTGCGGCAGATTAAAGAACTAGCAAGTGAAAGCACAAATTAACTAATGACAAATTAGGTACTTATGCAAGTTATAATTGCTTTTTAAGCCCATATTAGAACACCAAGCACATACAAATGATTAAAAGGAAAGATATTTAATAACTAGAATTAAGTTAATCGAATGCTCATGACAAGTAGAATGAGATATTTACAACCATGACATGTTGATGATCAGTGCTGGTTTTCATTTATTACTACAACTGAGAGACAGAAGCATAAATTGCTGGAGGCATAAAAGATATCCAGATCTGAGAAGTACCTATAAGAAAATTGCCCTTGAATATCTGTGTGCATGATCTACGACAGTGAATCATAGATTTCCTGACATCAGAAACATAACTCAATGCTAGATGAAGTTAGTTTCTGTAACACAGTAAAACCACCAAATTAAACAATTTCATGGAAGATATCACCTTGAAACTGCTTTTTGCAGTACTGCCAAGAGAATTTTGCTGACCATACCAAACAATTTCATGGAAGATATTACCTTGAGTAGCTTTGCTCTATGGATAAAAAACTTATCCTGCTTGCTGCAATTTTGCGATCCAGGAGAAGTCTACAAGGAGCCCTGAACTACAAGAACATTTGAAAAGTGCATGCTTGATTTCCAGATACAAGAAGGGTGCTCAAAAGTTATTTGTGGTGAGGTTTAAATGCTTCCCAATTGCCAACACAGACTCAAACTTTGTTAATTCATCATATTCCTTTGACCCTCGGACAGGGAATACATCCCACTCAAAATGGGCCCAGATTAGAGAAAGAAATAAATAGAGTGAAAGCAAAAGGGAGGTGATTTAAGCCCACAAATCACAAGTTTTGACTAACAACGTGATGTTCTTTACAAGCTAGAATTGTGAAACTTGATATCTTTCCCTCTGAGAAGACAAAAGTTTCATGGGTTCATCACATCCTCTTGAATCCAACATGACCAGCAGACTGAAGCAAGATTGTGAACCGCAGTCCTAGAGCCAGTATCACAACCTTTGATGCAAATGACTTGAAGCAGATTTAGGGGATTTGCACTCTTGTTATAATTAAAATAACCCTTCTTTCATTTAGTTCTTGAGGTAACTTACTCAAATTGGCCCCACCAAAAACCCTAGGCCTCCCACTTTGCTGAAACACTGGGGATTTATGAGCACTTATGAGCCTGGCACCCTCAACATCTTATCTGAAGCGCTTCTCATTGCTATCAGGGTTGTATCGTCTCATAGGTTGGAGTGATTCATACCTATCATCATATCCCCTTCTATCATCACTTCCGGTACATCTATATCTTTTATTCATAACAGCAACCTCTGGAATCTTGCTAGAGTGCAGAGGACGGCAGAAGTTGTCAGGCTTTGATCTTCCTTGTGAATCCATCGAGTCAAGCCTAGGATTTCTGAACACTTTAATAGATGGGCTTCTTCTAGAAGATCGCTTGTACTCATGTTTCCTATGATGATTGTGTGAATCCCTCCTTTCATCAATCCATCTTGAAGAATGCAATGGGGAAGAAAGGGTTTTCGATGTGGGGCCATACCTTACCATAAAGTCCTCAGAACTAGGTCGTGAATGGGGTGACCTCATTCTCTCCATTCTGATTTTGGGAGTCCTACTGCGCTTGCGAAACCCATGGGTATCATTCATCCCAATTTCCCTTCTCCTAGGAGAGGTCCACATATGAGGAGATCTCGATCTCGATCTCGAAGGAGATCTGGAGCGAGAACGTGATAGACGAAGAGGTCCTCTGTGTGGAGAGAAGCTTCTATCTCTACTAGATAGATGGTGCATTGTTAGTGATGAGTCCATGCTGCCATCAGGCACAGACCTGTGATACCGATCCCTAGCCATTTCATGGCCATATTTACCAGCCCGACCCCGAGAATTACTGAAGTGCCTGTCAGGGCTCATGTTCCTTACATTTCCAAGTCTTCTCTGCATACCATATGCAAGCTCTGTCTCAGCTTGTGAACGCCATCTATTTTGCACCGAAGCATTTGCAGCTCGTCTGAGCATAGGGCCTGCATTTCCAACACCACCTGCCTTAACTACGGTGCCATCAGGTGCAACAACAAAGCCATTACTCTCCACCTTTGCAACGGCAGCTGCAGCCGCGTTCCTTAAGCTTGGTCGAGCATAATTAGGTGCATCACAGTACTCAGGTGAATCATGATGCTTGGGACCACGATAACTGGGAGAGTCAAACCAATGTTCATCTCTGCATCTCCCTTTAGTATGCTGAGATGATTCACCCATGTCAGCTGATTTAGGAGCAGCACTGTTCTTTTCAGCTTTTGTATTTAGACCACCATTACTGTCAGATCTGCAAGCATTACAGCATATTTAGAACTTAAGAAATATGATCCCTTAGACAGTTTACAACTATAGTGAACTAAAAAACATCAGAGTGAGTAAACAAGATATTTATAAAATTACCTGCATCCCTTGATACAAGACCTATCTCTCCTACATGACTCATCCGAGGACATCAACCTCTCAACTTGAGATGACAAGCCTCTTCTGAACAACAAACCAGATCTTTCTAATAATTTGTCAGCATCAAATATATCTAAAGCACCAGATTTACCTCCTTGTTTAACAGAACCAATCCCAGCATCCATCATGCTATCTCCAGTATGCACATGGTCTACAGGCAACTTATCCCATCCAGAAGCTTTGATTCTCACACTAGCTGAAGGTTCCCTATCATTATCACCCTTTTCCTGAAATCCACTATGTCCAATCGTGTTCTCACCATGAGAACCAGGTACTGATGAATAGCTACCACTTCTCTGCTTTCTCCTCCAGTTGTTTACCGCGAAATGATCTGTGCAGTCTTTTCTATCAACATCTACAAAACTTCTTTTCCCATCTCCAGCATCCAAAGAAGTTGATTTGGATGAGCACTTCATTGGAGGTTCAGAAACAGCAAAAACACTATTCATTACAGGAGTTGCTCCATCATGAGCAACAACTGGTGCATCCCTGTTTTTGCACGTCATGCTTTCACCAGAGAAAGAAACAGAATAGGGAAAACCAGAAACTGCTTCAACGGCAACATTCTCTTTGTTGTCAGATCCATAATCCAGATGTTCAGATTCTCCTTCCTCAGCTCCATCTTCTCCCCAACTTTGCAGAACAGATTCTCTAAATTCACCATCCTCAAATTGAGAGTCATCATCTCCCAGAAGGTCAACCTTTTCCACTCCATTGGCCTCCCCCATATCAGCAAGAGATGCACCTGAGCCATAATTATGTACACAATCATTGAGAGAAGCTTCACCAGAATAATTTACACAATAATCCATGTAACTTTTGCCAGGCTCCTGAGTACCCACAGCATCATCTACCAAATTGACATCCTCTGTCATACCTGCCAAAACTGAAACAGGAACAACAGGATCAACACATTTATCATCGTCAACATTTAGCTGTGCTGTAGCCTGTTCACATTTACCAACATGTGTGATTCCAGAAGGCAATGCATCAGGATTACATGACTCTAAGCTGCCCAGCAGATGACCATTTAATAGGCAAGAACTCCTGTCCACTGTTCTGGGGGATCCATCAGTATGGAGATCGTTTGTGACATCAATGTCATCAGAGTGTTCAATTTCATCAGATGTACTTTTATGAAACAAAGGATCAGAAGTTTTTTCAGCATGGGGTGGACATTGATAACTGCTCTCTGAATCAGTATTCAGAAGTCCTTGCTTCTCAAATTGAGAAGGGTTTATGTGGATAGGATGTTCTACTTCAGCATTAGGCAGGCAATGGTCAGTATTAGATGCAACTGCATTTGGCTTTTCATCGAAGATTGATTTACTGATCGACTGGCCAAATTTCAAATGTGAATTATATGGATGAGTATTAAAGTCGGAGCTGGTATCCAAACTAAGAGGCAAATGAGAAAATGATGTTGCAGTTTCCAACTCCAAGCCAGAGTCTGCATCAGCCTTTGCACTAACAGATTCAATTACCATGGTAGTATCCCTCAAGGAACCAAGAACATCTCCAACCACAGAAGAAACAACTTTGGTACTACAGATGTCGCTCCCTTGATTGGGCACAACTTTTGTCTCTCCAGTAGAGTTGACCAAAGAAATATAGGTAGCATCCTCCAGTTCTTCAACCAAACCATCAGAATGAGGGAGAGACCACTGTTTTGCTTTCTCATGATCAACAACTGAACTGTCATTACACACATCAGGTTTTTCCCAAGCCTGTGACTTAAGTAATGCACAATTATCCTTTGAAAGACCAACCACATTTTCCCCGCTTACACCAAATTCAGTATAACATCTGCTTTCACAGTTTTCAACTTGATGCTGAAGAGCTTCAAAATCTTCCAGCTTTTTATTGTGATTATGACTTTCACATGCAGGATTAATGGGATGTGGCTCAGACTCAGAGATTACAACTTCATCAAATTTGCTATTCCATGTATCCATTACAGTGTTAAGATCCCAGTGAAGCCTAGAATCAGAGCCAGATGACCTCATCTTATCAGAAGCATTTTGCAATGGGTCTATTAAGCTTTTCTCGTTTGCTGAACCCTGGTACTCCTCATCATCAGCAGGTATAGATGTAGAACATTTTTCCGTAAATACATCACAATTTTCATGTAAATCTTGAGTAGATTGAGGTTGTCGCTCCTTATCTCCATACAAGGAATGTGATTTAGCTCCTTGTGTGTCTTTGAAAAGTACTTCACAAGAATGTCCCTTCGAAACTGAGCCTCCAGTATTTATGAGGTCACTCAATATTTCACTATCACAGGCAGCAGCAGCCAATATTGAAATTCCAGAGAAATCTGCAGCAGCACTGGCCTCTTCATTTATGTCATGCAAATTACTGGTCCAGTCAGCAACAGCTCTTTTGTCATGATTTTTGTCATATGCTGATGTCTTCTGATATGGAGGAGGCTGGCCCTCTATCAAGTGATCAGAATCATCTGAATAAGAAGACTGCAGAGGAGATGATGGAGAACTAACTAACAGAAATCTCCTCTTCTTTATGGGAACAATCTCGAGGGAGTCACTGAAGCGTCCTCCAAGAACGCTGACACCAACCTGCAAACAGAAAACAGAATCATTAAAAATGCACTAAAAAAAGGTTTGATAAAAGGGGTACCCTAAAAATAGCATTGATGTCTAAAGAAAAACCTTCTCAGACTCGGAGACAGAGAAATCTCTTGCTCTCTTCAGATACTGATCCTTGGTATCCTCATTCCTTTTGGAACCTTTGACTGCAGAGTTCTTTCTGAACCCACTAGAATATGAAGTTCTAGCTCGTCTTACAGCCCTCTTCCTGTCCTTGGTGGTTATCTTCCACTTCAAGCGAGAATCTATAGCTCCTAAAAGTTCAAGCCCTATGTTCCTCCGCATGTTTCCCGATGAAGTTCCACAACTATTAACTGCACATTTATAATGACAACTGCAGGACGATGGTTTTCAGATTTAGAGGCACAAACTCCAGAAAAAGTTGACAAATTAATCTGCAAGGTAAAAGCCAGAAATTTAGACATAATTTACAGTGAGAATACATTTCAAAATAACAAAACATTTTCACAACTAAAGTCATCCAAGAGATAAGGCCAACCATTGACTCAGATCCGTCATCATCTTTCTAGCCCAAAGAAATCATCACCGACTGCAGGTCCACAGCAACCGTAAACAACCACTGGAGAGCCAAAGGAAAAAACAAGGATTAAAGATCACATCTCTCAATACAATATCAACGTGATAAAATTAAACAATATTCCAACCCAGGAGAATATCCACAAAAATGCCAGAGTTGATGGTGGACTACTTGTATATCATGCTTAGAAAACCTTATAGGCATTTTTGTACCTCCTATTATAGCTCAAAATCAGTCAAAATATCTACAGAAAGAATTTAACTGTGCTCCAAACTAAAATCTTCAAGCAATGTAAGAAATACAAATAAAAAAAAATCTAACATTAGTCCTGCCTTGACAGTTGGGTATAATGCACATGAAAGAAAAAACAAAGATTCTATTCTTCTAATGTAGGCCAATCTTTGCTTTTCTATGCACAGTGCTTGTTCTGCTTGAAAATCAATTGCCAATCGCCAACCGCCAACTTCCCCTAAAATATCTACTTCATTAACAAACCAATTGCTGCCACTAACACAAACATCTAGGTCATGAATTTCCAGATTAGAAAAAAAAAGTGGTCAAAAATTTCAGATCAAGAAAACCAGTCTCCAAGATGACAATACACAAAATCAGGTGATTCCCCAATTTCAATTAATCCCATTCATTCAACAAATGAGAAATAATTCCAGTATGCATGGTCAGACAGTACATGTGCAGCAGAGATCCTTTAGAGCAATATGAACAGAACCATAAGAAAGCATGGTCTGATCCAACAGGATGAAAATCTTGGAGAAACAATCCACTGGCAGGAGCAACAAGCATTAAGAGTCTGGAAGAAATTTTTTAATCCTGTGTACAATCTCACAAAACAGGAACTTGAAGAACAAATAACAATACCAATCTTGCTGACCAAGTAATATAAACTGCCCTTAGCACTCAGAAGGCCATAAATATGATAAAGATGATACAGCCAGCAGAACCAGGACTAAGCCAAGATCTTAGAGTGATCATCAAGTGGTAAATCACAGGTAAAAACACAGGAAACGGCAAAAACAACAAGGACCAAAACCCTCCGAAATTTTTCTTCAACCCTGTGAAACCTAATATCATCTAAAATACAAGTAACCAGGCATCCCAAGAAGAATCACAAGTGCCACCTTCCTCAGCTGGTCCAATAAAAAAAACAGAACATGTCCCTCCTCTTAGGACCAAGACCGCCCAAACGAAGAGGATGATGATGTCACAGCAGACCCAAAGGCACCACCCTTCTCAGCCAGTCAAAGAAAACAAAATACAACACCTGTCACTTCGCTTTTTACTACGACGGCACAGAAAGAAGGGGATGACGATGCAACAGCAATCCATGACCCAGGAGTGATCAAACAAGAGGTAGATAGGAGTATATCATAGTAACCAGCAGGAGCTACAAGAATCAGGATACTGAGAGAAGTTTCAACCCTGTGAAACCTACATCATCTAACATCCCAGTGAACAGGCACTCCAACGAGAAGCATTGTTGCCAGTCTGCTTATCTGGACAAAAAAAATCATAATAATAGCTCTGTAGGATTATGACGGTGCAGGTAGTAGATCCAACGCCAAGCCCAAGACCTAAAAGTTCCACAAGAAGAAGACGGCAGGTAGATCGGAGCAAACAACAGGTGGGGCAAGATTCAAGAGCCTCTGCGACCTAATATCACCTAAAATCCCTGCAAAACTCTGAGAAGAAGCTTCAGCACCTTTCGCTGCTCACATGCCTGGGATGGCCAGTCCTAAAGAAGAGGACTATAACGCAGGCAGCAGATCCAGCAAGAGGCAGGTTGCAGGGAACACATCCATCAAGTTTCTTCCGAGATCGACCATCCGAAGCCAAAACCTCAAAGTATGGTTAGTCTTTGCAGTGTCCATGACAGGATTCGGTCTATACCCGCACAGATCCACGATCCAGGCCACGGTAAACTGTCTTCAAGTACCAAGAACATGGCATCCATGAGCATAACCTCCGAAAACCAGCCAAAACTTCTGCTCCGGCGTCCAAAAAAAGACGATTCAACCAAGAGTACCCCCACAGATCCTTTCAGTCATTATCCCCCACCAGGCGCTTCCCCAGATTGGAGTTGCAAGACGATCTAAAGAAAGCATACACAAATCATGAGCTAGGGTTTCAATACCTGGACCTAAGGGTTGCAGATCAGCCGCCTCCCTCTCCCTCCTTCCTATCTTTTTCCCCTTCCTTATTCTTCAACCTGTTCACACGGATGGGTTCGGATTCCTTCCTTGGCGTTCGTCGCCTGCACGTCCGGAAGGAAGAAACGAAGGTGATTCCTCGTCTCCCACGCCAACGTCAACAACTACTCTGCCGCATCAGTGTCGCTGTTGTTGGACGCTCCCTTCCGCTGTCTTTCTCCTTTCTCTCCTCTCTTCTCCGCCCCTCACTGTTGCGTATATTATTTTGTTCTCTGCCACTTATTTGTGCTTGCCCCGCGGTAGCCCCACCCCCCTTCGCCTTCCCAATTGCCCTTCCCACCTGCGCCTAATTCCGAGACGGCCATCCTGACGTCGACCCGGTTGGGTTCGGCTCGCGCGGCACGAGCCGGAAGTCAGCCGTCAAACCCGGGACAGACGGACCGGATCACGAGCGGGTGGCAAAAGGTCCTTGTACGCGCTTGGTTGACCCCGCGGAGGCAACGCGTATCGCCTTCTCAAAATCCAGGCGGGGCCCACGCGACTGCGTCAGTACCGAACCTACGTGGTTGGATTCGGAAGACCTGTCAACCTCATTTTATCGTGTATAATGGTCACCTGAGGCGCAGGATGCAGTAATCAAACTGTTACTAGCGGTCAGAAGGTATGCAGTGTTTGGAATAATCATGCGAACTTGCAAGGTTAAGAGTTATGGAATGAGTGAGAATAACCTTTACAAGTCGCAGAAAGAACCCCTTTTTTTTTGCCCTATCGTCCCATCCGCCGTTTCCTCTTATGTGATTGTATTAGCCAACACGACTTTGTAAACGCCGCTAGAGTTGCAATTACAACAGAAGACCTTGTTGACAAATAAAGATGATGATTACAATCAAAGTTGATCGAGAGTTCAGTTTTCAGCCTAAACCCTAAACTGGTCCTCCCTATTTCTCACAATGTAGTCCCCTTGGCAACAGGATCATCGATCAGTCATCACACACTCGAACAGAGAGACTAACATGCACGCATATACAGTCATCTCTTTCTTCAAACACAGACGAGAGCTTTCAGAACAAGGAAAAAGTTTGACCTGCACATCCAAATCATCCATTAGTGCACACCAATGATAGTAACTGTGCGCTTAGTCAATGGGATTGAACAATTATAACATGATCTCTCAGATGCAGAAATTAACATACGGATTTGTCAAATAATGATCATGGACTTACTTCGAGCATAGCTAGATAACAAACACTTGCACACATTAATTACCAACTATTGGAAAAGAACAATTGGCAAATACCCTCCTCAAAATATCTGCCATGTCCTATACCTATAATTTACCACTACCTCTGACGATATCCGATCACCAACAGGGCTGTTTATTTTACTGGTTGTTATTTGGTTACATATACAAGGGCAATGTGATCGCGGCAACAACTATCTAGTCTAAGAACACACATTAGGTTGCCAGTGCCTGACATGGTCTGCACCATGAAGCTATTTGAGCCTTACTGGCACGCAGCAAGACTCCATGTAATGTGCTGTGCAACACAATAATAATAGAACAAAGTTCAGAAGACGTTAGCACTTGTATTGGTGTAGAGACAAGAAGATTTTTTGTTAAATGCTCCAGATAGAAAGTAATAGCAAAAAGAAATGCATAACAAACAAGATAGAATCATCTCCAAATAGCAATATCCATATTGCTCGCTTTGTGTAGTTGAGCACAAATAACAATCATACCTTAAGCAAAATCCATTGATTTTGAATCAACATTTCATGCAGTCATTTAGGGTACTTCCAAGTTCAGCACCATGTTGCCTGATAATCCTAGCCGCTTGCAGAAGAATATCTTGCTCTGTGGCAAATAGCTCATCTTTTCTCTACAACCAACAAAATTACATCAAATGCAGCTTGTGCCATAAATATAAAGTTTCTAGTTCACAATCTAGGACTAGCATAAAGACAAGTAATGGTAATTCTTGATCAGAAAGATTTTATCCAGTTCTATAAGTACTAATATTTCTTCAAGCGTGTATAATGGGGTGTGTTATGACAGCAAATTCACATTCTTTGTTGAACCACAGACTTCTAAGTAGCCTGTGCCAACATTTAAAATTATTAAGGTTTATGATAAATTTATTTTTGCAATAAACAATTACTGTTAACAATTTTCAACAATGATGAGAACATGTACATGATCACAAAGGGTGAAGTTAAGTAAAAGAAGGCACACCATGCCCTCAAAATTAGCAAATTGCATTTTAGATAAAGGTTGCTAAAATTGATCAAAACATTTCAAAATTATGTGCACATGTATATGGTCACAAAGGGTGAAGTAAAAGAAAGCTCACCATGCTCTCAAAATTAGCAAATTGCATTCCAGATAAAGGTTGCTAAAATTGATCGAAACATTTCAACAATGATGTGAACACGTATATGATTTTCCATGGGTGTAAGCATTTGTAAAATACCATGGGTGCAGGTAATTAAAAGAAAGCTCACCGGGCTCTTGGAATTAGCAAATTGCATTCTAGAATAAGGTTGCTAAATTTTGTTGAAACATTTCAACGATGATGTGGACATTTACAAGATTTCCATGGGTGTAAAATTTTGTAAAAGAAAACTCACCATGCTTTTGAGGTTGCATCCTAGGGTAAGCTCTGCATATGATTCTATCCGAGAGAGGTAACAATAAGGGGCATCCTTCTCTAGGAAAACTTTTGGATGAGCTCGTAGCATAGAACTTATCTCTTCAGAAATATTGGGTATCTTCTCTATATCATCAATACGTATAGGTATTTTGGTAAGACTAGCACGCCACTGAGCCCTTGATTTGTTCACAATCACCTGGGAAGTATTTTCATGTAAGTTAAAAAAGATAACAAACACTATGACCACAATTTAGCATAACAAATACCAGTTGCTGGTTTGGATAGCTTTTGTGCATCAGTCTAGCACAAGTAACTAAAGAAAATATCTTGATGGCATCAGTCTGCCAGACATCAGACTGAAGATGGGTATTTCAATGTCAACAAAATAACTAAAGAAATGTTCAAAACATTAGCCTGGAATCCAGCACCAACTGTCTAACCATCAAGATACAGAAATTGGCTGCTGATATTGTCAAAACATATATTGAAAAATGTGAACAGTCTAACCAATCCATAAAATGGCTGACCATCAAACAGAGGTTATGGAATGGTCAAGTAATACCACCACCATATAAGATGAAACTGCACATGCTAAAGAAAGCTTAATTATAAACTGTCCATGCAGCACATGCCATGCCAGAATGGTACATATGTGCATGCTAGGTACCACACTGGCAAACAAAACATGCAGAGGCATGCTTTTTATGGATGACACTTATTCTGCTGACAAGGCTGCAAAATAGATCTTAGGTCAGATAATCAAGATATCTATCAATCTTTGAACTGACATCACCGACAAAGGAACCAGAAAAAAAAGAAAACTGAGCAAAAGGCCAGCAGTGCAAAGACAAAAGACATACTCCCAGACATTAAAAAAAAGTACATTAATCATCTGCGCTTTTCAACAGTAATTTGGATATATATTAATTATCCATTTAATTGTTCACTATTACAATCTTCTAAAACAATCAACTCTCCAGCATAATCTAGAATATAAAATGAAAACTTATTGAAGCATTGATAGAATATATTTTTTCCAATCCAATTAAAAACAATTTTGGACCTCAATTATAGTTGGGACACCTCCTGGCAACCCGGGGGGTGCCAACAAGTTGCACTGGATTTGATTAAATTTCTATATGATCAAGTCTGATACACTAGTTTAAAGTTGATGATGGGTCAATTAGTATATAAGATCACTACCAGACAAGCCACAACGAAAAAAACATACATCCTATCCATATTGTTGACTTAGTAGATCTGCTTGGTCAGGTCAGGCAATTGATATTTAGTGAGTTCCTAGGACCATGGATGTGTTCACTAGTGAGGCTGGTAGGAAAGAACTATCCATGGATAATGAAAATGACATGTTACTAGGACACTATACATCCGACGTATTGCTCAGAGAATGTTTACGGGTCTTTATGACATGGAGTTTCCTTGGTGCTTCAATTTAAATATACATCCCCATTTCTTACCAAGAATTTTCTGTTGGTAAACATAATTGATAAATATTAGTTTGTTTTCCACACTAACTCAAACAATGCCTTCGGTGTAAGTATTTGAAGTAGCAATTAATTATAATATCCATGATAATTACTGATGCAAGTCAGTCCACGTTTCTGTACATTTCTAAAAAGTACTTATCTTTTGAAGTGTGTCTAAGTTTGTTGTGAGCTTATAGCAAACTTGGCTGATATACGAATTTAAAGAAACCCAAGAACCACCTTCCAGGAAGATAGTACAGTGAACTGTGACTATTTATGTACGTCTTATATTAAAAAAAAAAAAACAAGATTTTTTACTGTACCATGTGCACATACAAGGTCAATCTTATTTGTGACTATTATGGTAAAAGCAGCTCTATATTCATCTTAACTCAACCTTAACCAGGTCATGTCCAATTCATAGCCTGACTTATTCAGGCATGGTATTGTCTTGCACCAAGAGCTGCACTACGAGGACAAAAGGCATTACAGTGTCAACTGTCACGACTTGTATTTCATTCCATACAACTCGAATTAATCATAAGACAAAAACTTCAGATATATTGGAAATTCATAGTAGCAACGTCTTAATAAATAAGTGAATGAGTCAGCACCTAACATCTATTATATACACACCTGACTAGAGAATAGCGAGTTTGGAACTATGACAGGAAACTTTTCAGAATTTATCAAGGACGTGGTGGTGAGTCCCATTTCCATCACTTGGCCTTCTACTGATCCAGCCTACATTTTTCAAAAAATATAAATCATTAAAACAAATCTCAAATCAAATAAAGACAGCAAGATATCTTTCACATCTGATTTGCTGAAAGAAAACAGATTATTTGCAGCTGATGAACTAGTCGAGTTGAATATGAAAATCTGGAAAGAAAGCATGTGACTCAAATAACTAACATCATTTATGGCAATGACCATCATGATCACATGTAATTCCATTGCTCATGCTGGTTTTGACAGTCAATTTGTGAATTTTATCATTTACATCATATAGAAAAGGTCAAGCATTTAACAGAAGATAAGGCATGCCCAACATTTTCATGTCTGCTTATCCACACAAGCCAAAACACGCTACAAAAAGGAATGTGTGCAACAGCATTCAGAAGGAAAACGTCTTATATGTTATGTTATCACAATGACAAAGGCAGGTAGGTGAGTCACGCTTATAAAACCTTGACAACAGTCCACACAAAAGAAGCTTCTCGGGATCCCAAACCTGGTATAAAGGCCTTTGAAAACTAGACCTCATAAATGACCATCAACTGCCATGATACAGGGAGAAGCTTTTTCGCTAGCAGAAGCTATATCAACTTAAACTGCTGTACAATATTATTTTATTCCAACAGAAGAAACTTTCATGATCAATGCTTGACTCTACAATTTCTCTAGATGCAGAAACTTGTTTACCAACAATATATTTCATTTCCACTGAAAAATGAGTAACTTTTTATATTCCAGTGAGTACTAATTATTCTGATTAATTTTCCATGATTAGATAGTTTAAATTATAACCACAATAACATAATTGTGAAAATATTACAGTGAAAGATACACCAGTAGTTGCTTTTGAGGGTACACCAGTATCTTCCAAGTTTTGAGAAGTCAAGACGGCTAAAAGAGTTATTATGCCTTTAATACTTTGCCCTAGATCTAAAGATAGAAGACAACACAATGTCTCCTCCAAACTTGTAATTCAATCTAAAAAAAGATAGTTCTAATCAAGATTTCTCTTACCGGTCCATACCGATGTACCGATCAATCGTCGGTATGATACATACCAAGGTGTACGAATGTACCGTATATCAGTACACCTAGACCAACGGTAAGGTAAAATTACCAAAAATAGCTCCAAAATTTTCTTTTAAATAGAAAAAAGTTGGATTAGGGTTTTAAGTTGAAAATAAATATAAATTTAGTATAATTTTAGCAAAAATAATATAAATTATAAAAGAATAGTGACATCTTTTTTGGACTTTGCAGGATAACTTTGTAATAAGTTCCGGACTTTCCTTCCGTTAATATTAAATTATCTATAAAGAAATGATTTGAATTGTTAAATTATTTTTTAAACTACTCAGACTTTAAGACTCAAATGAATCAAGTAATTAATCAACAGATATACCTGATTCTACCACCATATAGAATGACCGGACTCCACAGGCGATAAATCGAGATTGTCAATCCTATGTAACTGTATATCAGTTTAATATGTTTGTCGGACCCAATCCTAAAAATAATCTCATGACAAAGTATCAAGATTCTTAATCTCGCAATGTACCGGTGTATCGAGCTTTGCTCAGTATGATATGATATGGCATACCGGGCGGTATGCCTAAAATAGGCATAAAACCCTCCCAAAATACCTAAAAAAAAAAAAAAATTAGGATAGAGTTTTGAAGTTAGAAATAAATATGCATTTAGTATAGTTTTAGCAAAACTAATGTAAATTAGGGAAAAATAGTATCACATATATTTTTCGGGCTTTGAGGAGCAACCTTGTGCAAGGTTCTCAATTTCGATCCGTTATGGATCGTTCTTCCTCTTAATCCTCCCAAATTAACCTCCTAAATTTGATTCAATCCAAAAATCATTGCTTTGTTAAGTTTTGGAGAGTGAAAATGTAAGAATAAGAGAGAGAATATGAGAAAAAATGAGTTTGAAAGAGTTTAAGAGAGTGTGAGAGTGAAATGAATTGAAATAGGGGGAGGAAAGGGTTTAAAAACCCTTGAGGCCTCCAACGGTCAAATTGACCGTTAAAGAACTGTTACCATTCGGTAACGATCGATTTCGACCGTTACCGCCCTGTATCGCCTCGATACGGGGCCAGATGCCTGATACCGCTAGGTAACAGGTGGTCCGCACACCGATCTACTAGCGGACCAATACATACTGCCCATACTGGGTGGTACGGTATGGTATTGCAAACCCTGCAAAGTATACTAATACATTGTATGTCATTAGTGCATCAATATGATGATGGTTGTAGTCTGATCGTCGTGAACCACGTGTCCGAGGCAGCTCCCAAGGCAAGGACGATTGTGGCATATATTAGTGCAAAGCATGAAAATGTTAGAACTTCTACTTTCGCCACTAATTTGCTGCTTTGTATCATATAATCGATTGTCGTGCTACTGCTCGGAAAAGTATGATCAACTATCACCGTACTACTATTGCTCGTAAGATTCTCTATAATACGACGATTGTGAATACAATGAGCTTCACTTTGTGTCTACGTCACGTAATCTATGTCGCATCTATTCAAAATCATCCGTTGCCTTCCCCTTCCCCTTCCATATATAAACTTGACCAATACCTCGTTGAGCTCCATGATTTGAATCTTAGGTGGCATGTGTAAAATATTCTCCACTATCCATGCACCACCCTCAAATTGTGTAGATGGGACAATGGACTCCTCAGAGTCGCCACCATTATCGATCGAGGAATTGTTGTATATGTTGTTGCCATGTCTTTGGACCGAGCAGGTTGTTGGATGTGATTGATAAGGTATCTTATCGCCCGACTTGTTTCTTTCCAACAATGTGACTGATGCCATTGTCTTCGCCTTTGCACACTGGGCGGACAACTGTGGTAGAGGAAAAGGTTTAAAAATCCTTTCCTATGGTTCAAACGGTCAAATTGACCATTCAAAATAAGCCGATTTCAGGGTATTGGTACAGGTCAATAACAATTACTAAGCAGTACAGATTGGTATAGGTCAATAACAATTACCAAGCAGTACAGCTCGGTACAGCAAACCCTGGTTCTAATTTCAGGGTTGCCTTTAACCTATCAAACAATGAGAAATGGAGTTAGGTGACACTTTGTGCAACATGAGTTCAGTAGCACAATTTTCTATAAAGATACATTATCACAACAAAAGATAGATACTAGTTGATTTTTCTTTAGTGCAAATGTAAGGTGACAAATTTGGGAATACTTATTGAGGCGAGGTTATAAAGAAATAGAGGTGTTCAAAGAGAGCGACCATTTCATATCTAGGATCAATACTTGAATGTAAATGAAATAATATTAAAATAAAAGCAGTTAAATTGCATTTAGCATTAGCAGTGTAGGAAGAGAAGGTTACTGGACATGTGCATGTACATATGCATTTAGCATTAGCAGAGTAGCTAGAAAAGGTTACTGGGCATGTGCATGTAACTTGCATTTAGCATTAGCAGAGTAGGTAGAGAAGGTTACTGGGCATGTGCATGTAAATTCAATTTAGCATTAGCAGCATAGGTAGAGGTTACTACATGACTTCTATCATTTCCTGCAAAATTAAGCATCTGCCTCAAAATGTTCATAACTAGACCCAAAATTATTTTTATATTAATTCCAAATTGCCTACATTTTAAATGCATAAAACATTGCTAAAATTGATAATTTTTTTTTTTCTCGTTTCAATGCAAGGGGCATCCAGCAGATACATTGCACTCCAAACATCTCTCTCCATTTCTATGATCAACACAAATACAAGTCTAGTTCAAAAGAGAAAGTACAAAAAATCCTACCAATATCATTATAACAGCAGTACTCCAAAGATCAGGTCAAAACTGTGCCTCAATGGCTCAATGCTATCCTGTATTAATTTTATAGGTGGGGCCAGATACTCGAAGTGAATGTCATGGCACTACTCGCATTACTAACAATCATGATCTACTATGATTGAAAATATATATACAAAACAACTAATAGAAAGTAAATACTTTAATATTGTCGCCCACTCCAAAAGGCTTTGATAATTGCAAAGAAAGGCCACTAAACAAGTTTCCAAGAATGTCTCTAGCAGCAAAAGCAGTAGCCACACCTGTTGAAAAAAGTTAACTAAATCTTTATCCAAGAGTTTAAAGAATGATATACAATAAACAATATATAAAAATTAGGACATCATCTATCAATAGATACCTAAAGAATCCTATAAAAACGATTGTCTACCATAATAAAATAAATAAATTCAGCAAGAGGAAAGTGATGTGCGAGCGCACATGCCTGCGTTGTGTATATGCCAGCGTGTGTATTTGTAGCAGTTACTTCTGTAACATGGTTACCATTTAGAAGCTAGACTAGTGAATACTCTGGAGGCAGCAAGATATGATGTACTTGTGAGCAGCTACCTTAACCTACTACAATTAAACACAAAAATCCAGAGAAGCCATGCCTACAAGAGGTATACCACTTTGTACCAGATGGTTATTTTCCTTATTTATTGAGTTGTGTTTCATCTATGATGGATATACATTCATTACCTATAAGAAAGTACCTTCTCATGATCAAATTGATAGAATAAATTATCCAATGATAGAAAACATTTAATTTTATACAACAGTAAACAACTCAGCTATATAAATTGATTCTATTGCAAAGCAATTAGACATGGAATACATCAGTCAGGCATCTAAAACATGATCAGTTTCAAGAGGGCCTGCCAAGTGTCAATTCCAGCCAAAAAAAAAGAACAAAAAAGATGAGTTTACTGCACACTGCTACCGGAAATTTCCTTAATTAAAATTACCTAGTTTAAAAAAATAGTTTGCTAATATTAATAACATACCAATCACAAAAAAAAAATTGTAGAGAACATGCACAATCATGAAATTATTACATAAAATTAGGGACTGAAGTCAAAGACTAGGAACAAGCAATAACAAGCCAACTCTGAGGTTGGCTACACAAGTCTTTCCCTAGCACCGAGCTCTATCAAGGGTAAGAAGCCAGTATGTGCCAACATATACTATTTCGGCTGGTGTATCATGTCATCTATGTGATGAGATGTGGACTCTTGTGTCACTTTAATTCATTCAAAAGTGGATTGTTATCTGAACCAACTAGTTTCTTTGTCTAACCAATCCGCAAAATAGTGTTTTGGGAAGGTCAGCTTGGGTTTGGATTCAGATTCAGGCTAACTACAAGTATGCAACCTAAACTGGACCCACTTATAATCTAATTGAGACTAGAAATAAAGATTGCTATCTGAACCAACTAGTTTCTTTGTCTAACCAATCCGCAAAGATAGTATTTTGGGAAGGTCAGCCTGGGTTTGGATTCAGATTCAGGTTAACTACACGTATGCAACCTAAACTGGACCCACTTATAATCTAACTGAGACTAGAAATAAAGATTATCTAGAAAACTTCTTCATTAAAAGCATGCTGCACAAAATATTGGCATTAAGTCACTGAAAAATTAGCATCTCTAGCAGTTGTAAGACTTTAAAATGTTAAGAAAAGGTACAAAGAGCTAAAATAACATCATTAATACAATGACACAGGTATATAGATACTAATGACAAAATATTGATGGTTTAGGGGGAAAAAGCAAAGCATTTTATCCAAATGTAATCATACCTCCTATGCCACCAACAGTAACAATAGATTGCAATGGTACACCTACTGATTCAGCAAAGCCCATTACTCCTAGTACAATTAATCCCACGGATGACAACTTCTCCAGTGTTAACAGCTTGTCTCGATCAAGCCCTCCGATGGCCTGGGTTGTCAAAGCCCTAGCAAAGAAGTTGGTTTTCCATCTATGAAGAAACCAGATGAAAGAAAGAACAACTGCTCCTCTCCATGCTTGTGATAGATATTCTGTAGCAGTTGGTGCAATCATGATACCTCTGTAGCGTAGAATAAAAATTAAAATCATTATGCTAAATATCTACAAAGCCATTTCATAAATAAATAAAATAAAAATGTTCTCCACAAAACCGATTAGACGAAAGATTAAATAATATTTTTTTATTTCTCAACACGGTTAATCATTCTGTCTAAATCTGATGGTAGAGTCACAGTTCAATCAAGAGCAAGCTCCCAAAGTACATATATCAGGAGTAAAAGGTCAGAAACAAATAGGTTATAAGCCACCTAAGAAGTTACATTGACTGCTTGTACCTAGCACATAAGAAGGGCCGAATAGTAGGAAGCATTATGAACAACCTTGACAAGAACAAAAAATTATGTGAAAAATGACAAATGAACTCATGAATACTGAGAAGGAATGAATCATTTGGTAATTGCCACTTGCATCTGTGCAACCAACAAATGTTCTACTGCATTAATGTACTCTTTTATCCATCTTAGCCCCTGGCTTCCCGTTTTACAAAGTTACACTAAGTTCTAAGATTAAAATTAAATGTGGTAATGCTTACCACATATACTTACCCTTAATAATTGCTTCTCTTAAAATGGTGATCCAATTAGTTTTTCTGACTCATGCTTAATTTTTCTTCCCGTAACATGGCTCCGAACCTCATCATGTCAGCACCATTATTTCACATGTGTTCAAATTATGTATAAACATGTATGCTCCTCTATTATCTTATATGCTTTCTACTAATGAGTTCAGAATAAATTCTGCACTTTTCTGAGTTGTAAATTCCTCACTCCTATACAAACTGTGATTATGCAACTTCAATATTAAATTTCCTTGTGTCTTTTTCTTCTAACTCTTAGTTCCCCTATTACCATAATTAAAATAGCATTTAGCGCAATATTCTTGATCTCTGTTCCTTTGCATTAATAAGTTCATCTCATCCCTGAGTTTTCTTCTCATGCATATGGTTCATAACTACACAAACTCAGAACAGAATATTGTCTTTTCTTGACTATAAATGTTCATAGCAACGTTTTTAATTTCGAATAATACCACCTGGTATGGGCGGTACGTACCGGTCCGCCAGCAAACCGGTACGCGGACCGCCCACTACCGAGCGGAATACTGGATATCGTCTCGTATTGGATGATACGGGGCTATATCGGGCGGTAATGATCGAAATTTCGATTGTTACCGTTCGGTACAGGACCATTACCGACCTGTAACAATGTTCCAACGGTCAAATTAACCGTTGGAGTCCTTTCTCATGGGTTTTTAAACCCATCCTCCCCCCTATTTCACTCCATTTCACTCTCTCTTAAACTATCTCAAACTCATTTTTTCTCACATTTGCACTCTCCTAAACTCTACAAAGTAATGATTTGTGAATTGAATCGAGGTTAATTTGGGAGGATTAAGAGGAAGAACTTTTTAATCAAGAGGTATGTATTCTCTTTATTTAATTAGAGAGTAATTAAGATTTTTAATATTATATTTAGTGTGTTTAAAATTGATTAATTCGAAATTAGACACTTAATAGATCAAATATTTATATTTCATGCATATTAAATATTTGAAGATATTTATGATGGTAAAATAGGTTTAATTAAGTTTTATTAAAGTTATTTAATATTATAATTAGTGATTTTAATGATGATTTAATCAAAATATGATCGATTTTGGATCAATTCAATGTCTTTAATACATATTAAGATATTTGACATGTTTATAGTGTTGAAAGAGAAGTAATTAATGGGTAATTAATTATGTTAATAGTATTTTAATGCATTAAAGTCATTACAGCAAAAAAGACATGGCTTGAAGGCAATGGTCACCTCACAAGAGTGGTCTGATTCCAGACATTCGAGAATAAGCGATGGAAAGAAGATAGAAAAGCTCATTCTTTCCTTTAGATTTTGGGACACCATGGCTAAAATCATAAAAGGTGTAGAACCACTTTATATTGTTCTCCATAAGGTCGATGTGAACAAGCATCCATAGATGTCGTATCGTAAATATATGCTGATTTCAGCAAGAGATAAGGTCAAGAAAGCATTCAAAGATGATGTTAAGACCGACCAATACGTACAGATCATTGATCGTCGGACTGAAGTTCATATAGATCAAGATATCCATAATGTAGGTAAATTTATATTCAGAATAATTTAATTTATTATTTTTTATATAATAAAAAATCATACTAACAATATTATATCTTGCAGCGTATTATCTAAACCCGACAATTCAATATCGATATGATCTCGGAACACAAAATGATTTACTAATGACACTACGAAATGTTATATATCGACTCTTGTCAAACACTGCTGATGCAACTGATGCTCTTATGAATGCTTGATTATTCTGAGAAACAGTTGGTTCATTCTCCGACGTTATAGTTGTATCGTGTCGTTACATTATGGATCCTGATGAGGAAAAGTTACACATATTGATTATCAATTATTTTATGTTAATTATTTATTATGCTAATAAAATCTTATTTATATCTTTTTGTAGTCGAGTGGTGGCTACAATTTAGAGGGAATGCACCACATTTAACGAAGGTTGTTGTTCGTGTACTTTCAAAGATGACGACATCTAATGGTTGCGAACGTAATTGGTTAACGTTTGCATTGATTCACAGAAAGGTCCGCAACAAACTCTCTTATAGATGGTTAAATAAACTGGTATATGTCCATTATAACATGCGGCTAAGATTGCGATGTGTTGAGCTGGATAAGGAGCCAGAGGAACCAGATATTGATCCCATCGACCTCTAATTCTACAACGAAGATTCAGAGCCGATGTTAGAGTGGGTCGAAGCGGCAGAGAACCATGACGCTCCTCTACTTAATTAGGTGGGAGATCCTCAACGTCCTTCGCATTTTATCACCGAGGCAATGGAAGAAGAGGAAGCACAATCCCAGCAAGTGGAAAATCCCCCTCGATCACAATGTGGCAAGAGTCAAACAACATCGAGTCAAACTGCTCAAGGAACTACAGACACCCAACGATCATAATCGTCCGCCCACGTGCAAAGGCAAAGGGGAAGACAGTCACATCGTTGGAAAGAATCAAGTCGAGCGATGAGACACCTTCACAATCACATTCATCAACTCGCTCGGTCCAGAGACATGACAGCAACATGGACAGCAGTGCCTCGACGGATGATGGTGACGACGTCGAATAGTCGTTGGTCTCGTCTACACAACTTGAGGGTGGTGCATGGACCGAGGAACAATATTTTATACACGCCACCCAAGATTCAGATCACGGAACTCGATAAGGTACTGGTCAAGTTTATGCGCGGAAGGGGAAGGAGAAAGGGAAGGCAGTGGATGAATTTGAGCAGATGCGACAGAGCCTACATGATGTAGACACAGAACGAAGCTTATCGTATTCACAGTCGTCGTATTATGGAGAATCATATGGCCAACAATAATTCGGTGATAGTCATACTTCTCTGTGCAACAGTGTGATACGGAGCAACAGATCGGTAGCGAAAGTAGAAGCTCAAACATTCACCAATACATGCCTTAGGAGTTGCCTCGGACAAATATAATTCATGACGATCAACTTACAATCATCACCACATTGATGCACCAATGGCATACAATGTATCAATACATTATGTCGTGAGATCAATTTCAGGATTAGGTACAACAAACATATCATATTGATATGCAGATGCATAGGATCGACGACCCTAATCCACCACCCGTGAAGGTCCGTCATTCATTTTGGTGATAGAATTAGTAATCAGGTATATCTACATATGTGATTATTTAATTCATTTGAATTTTAATTTTTATATTGTAACAAAATAATCTAAAAATTCAAATGATTTTTCTGTAGATATTTCAATATTTATAGAAGGACAATCCGTAATGGACCGAAATACGAACCTTGCACAAAGCTATTCCTCAAACCCCAAAAAAGATATGTGACACTATTCTTACCTAATTTACATTGATTTTGCTAAACTTATACTATTACTGTATTTATTTCTAACTTGAAAACCCTATCCTAACTTTTTTTTCTATTTTTCAAGTATTTTCAGAGGATTTTACACCTAAATTAGGCATACCGCTCGGTACACCATACTGTACCGTACCGAGCAAAGCTCGAAACTCTGGTACGGTACGAATTTTCAATCATTGGTTCATAGTGGTTTATCTTTGCTAATATATATAACTTAAATGTCCCCTCATCTAAGTTTCTCAATGTTTGTAACAAGGGTCTGTTCCAGTGATGTGACACGATAACAGCACTTGTGGATAAGAGCTCAGCAGAAAACATGTTATAGATAAGATTTACGATACCGCATATACTGATCTGAAAGCCAACTGGGACACGAAAGAAGTGATTTCACCCAATAAGTCCAATATAGGTTGTATAACTCGACAAATTCACTATGTGGATCCTATATTAAACAGTAAGCAGACCAGTACCAAATGGAACCAAACATTTGAGATGTAATACAAGCAGAAGTTGCATGTTTTAATGTTTGAGACCACTTAAAAATAAGCTGATATGTGTGCAAAAGATAGTTAAGTTCCTAAATTGAAATGAAAAACTAAATAAAAAGTTGATTAGCATACAAAAACTGCAAAAATGAGAATGATGACAAATATATTGAAGCAGTCATTAGTTTTAACTACAACAAAAGAAACTCACAGTTGAGAAAATGCCACAAATGTAATAAGGTATCTCGCAGGGTCTTCTAGAGCACTCCATAGACTTTTATCATAAGGAACTCGTTCTTTGGTTGAATTCCCCGATAACAAAGCAACAGGACTCTGCGTTGCATAACTGTGCAGTTTCCTGAATATTTTGGGCATGACAAACCAAGCCAACAATGTAGCAGACACAGTCCCAGTGATTGGAACAATCACCTTCTCCAGATATGGATGTGAATCATATAACTCTTGCAAATATGGAGTCACATTATCATACGAGTCTTTAACTTTCTTTTCTGTGCTAATAGCCGCATCCACAACAGCCTCACGAGCACGGTCAAGTATAGCTACCCAGTCATTCCCCACAGCACCAGTATTTCCATCCTTTGATGCTTCTGTACTTGCAATATTTTCAAGAGCACTTTGGACACCATCTTGTTTGCCTCCAGAATGGGAAGAATATGTTCGATAGTTGTATTTTGCATTTAAGCACCATGGAGATAAAGTATGTCCAAAGCTTAACAAATTTGTGATTGATTGGTTGCTAACTGGAAGTGTAGTTGAATACGTTCTGCCATCAGTTCTGCAACTCCAAGTTTCAGCAAAAGGGAAGAAAGTAAACAATTTGCCCTTACTTGTTTTTGTATGTTGCCGAGGCCAGTCTTGTACACTGTATTTGTCAGGTGTAAGGTCACGTGATACTAAAGAAACACTGCACAAGGTTAGCCTTGAAATTTCAAGTGGAGAGATGAATGACCCAAGAGATCTTGCCTTGAAGCAAGAATCTATGGCATTGTAGAACGACCTAGTAAATGTTGTTCTAAATCCAGCCATTGTTATATATATTCAGAATCACTTATCACCAAGAATGAAACTTCTGCCCATACAACATGCTCCAAGATATTGACTCTGCAAAATAATATATAAATTATTATAAATAGGATTTACAAATCCAAGGTAAAGAACCTACCATCAAAAAACAAAAGGCTAGCATGTTTTAATATTCAAAAAGGAAGATTGCTTATCACGCAATAATGAATATGCATTTTAGAGGATAATCTAATGAAACCAGAGCAAAGTGCCTTAAACACTGATTATGAGTTCACTAGTATCCACTAAATTACATTTACTCCTTAAGATTAGTTTCCAACACTTCTAATTTGTTGTAAAATTAAACAAGAACAAGAAAGAAATTAAAATTTTGTAGGATATCAAAAATTATAAGACATAATCAATAAAAATAACTCTAAAAGAAAGATGTAAAAATCTTTAACTAATCCAATTGGATTTATTTACAATATTGGTTATTCAGAACGAGATATAAGGATATATGCCAAATTAGGTGACTTATTGAGATCCTTCTTTGACTTGAAACCCCCAAAAAAAGGGAAATTAGATCTTGTTGGCTTCGTGCAATCAAGATCCAAAAGATCAATGCTATTAGATTCTAATAAATGTTTCATTAAACTCTCATCATTATTTCCATTCATTTGACGATCCAAAAATTCAAGAAATCAGGAAGAAAGTGGAAAGAATGTAGGAGAGGAAAAGGGTAGAAGGGAACTAACCGTCAAAAGAAATTGGGACACCGAATTCATGGGCTCCGACCTTCCTGGTGGAGATTCTTAAGACGGATTCTTTACTTGGGTTTGTGGTTCGTCATTCTTTAAGTCACGGAAGGCCACTTGACATGATGATCAGACCTTGCAGGGGTTCAACCCAATTTGTGCTATGTGGGGCTCTAATCTATATAGGAATAAGACAGGCCAGGCCGGGTCGGATCAGATTAAATGGATCCATTGAAGAGTCGGATTGTGAAGCCTGTAAGCCCCCATGTTTTCTGTTAGATTTAGGCATACATATTATTGGATGTAGATTAAGATCCAAACTCGTTTTGGATTTGAAAGCTTCTAAGCTTATGCATCAATAACCAAGTTATTGGGTTAGTACTCTAATAAGGCTTTCACTACATAAGGTGATGTGGTGTCTCTCATTGACTTTGATGTGATGGGATCTTAGTGCTGTTATCACCAATGTATTGAGATCTACAAGAGATAATTAAGCTTAACAATGACAACGGGACTAACATTTGTTAACTACATGAAGAATGTCTTGTTTTGCATGTCGGAGGTCAAATTTAAAATTTGCTTTATGCATTAGAGTTGGATCTAAATTTGGAAACTTTAATTCTTTATAAAATTTAGATTAGTTTGATAACTATGTTGTCAAGGTGCGACCTAATAGACCTACTAACATAGCAACTTAAACATAATTCTTAATGTCTAGTTTGGTTGTCTATTCCATTGATTAATGCAATAAAGCTTCCTTGGCTTCAGATCGCATTTGTCACAAGAATAATGTTGGATCAATTAGAAATGTGTACTATTGGTGTCTAGGATGATTGAGGAATTAATTGATTGACTTGCAAAACCAAGATCGAAAATGTACCCAACAAGGTTCCTCCAACACAAAAGTGAAAGTAGCCCACATCTGACGGGTAATAGTTTGTATTAAATATTTTTAATATAATGTAAGTCGATGTACTATGAGGTCTTTTATAGTCAGATTCCATAACCACTCATACTTAGCGCATAGTTTTGACAAATCATAGGATGTTGTCCAAATGTAAAGGGTCACTGAAATCATCGGAGGCTATTATTGATGATGTGTATTGATCGAACATTCCCTTAGACAATGATCGGGTTTAACATATGATATGGGGATCATAATATATTGATGGTTGTCAACACCTCATCGCCTTGTTGTTACAGAGAAGTCAGTAGACAAAGTGTTCGATGTAATTTGATGTAATGTTTCTGTATTTTTGTGTCGTTCGATTTTGTACATGTCTTAGGCGACATGTACAGGGCTTGTAGCAGGCTTGGTAGCCCCCATTTTAATTGTCATTTGTGGCCATTTCAGGTTTGCACCACTTATGTTGCACGACCATTTAAAGCTTGCGAAGTCTAGCTTTGTATTTTGCATTGCCTATCAATTATTTGTTGAAATGTCAACTTGTGAGGTCCCGAGTATAACACTTCTTCTAACTCGTGTTCTCACTCTCGAGGAAAACTTGCATCGAACTAGGAAGACCCTTATTGCATTTCAAAAGACAGCTGACCATGGATTTATCGACTTCAAACTTTAGAGGGTTCACATATCCCTAAGACTTAGAATATAGTTCAATTTAAAAATTATTATTCATAACAAGGATTCAGACTTGGCAAAGAAATTTATACTCAAAGCCTAATAAATGTTGTACTTTTCATTGACAAAAAAATATTTACATTACACTTGAGAGTTCATTATAAAATAAAATTAGGATCTCCCGATAACAAAATCAAAAAAATAGAGAAAGAAAAAATTTACAAAAGGCAAGCAACTCAACACCTATACTACTTCATAATGGTCAACAATCAGAAATGCCAAAGGAGGTTTGACAGCATCGTCAACAATCACAATGGTCTCATATGCCAAAGGAGGTTTGACAGCAAGAACTTCCACATCAGCAAGTGGGGCTTTGGGCTTTGCAACTATCATCTCCTCGCCTATGGACTCAGTAGAGGCCCCTTCGGGTATCGACTTCGCCACAACTCCATCTAACATTCCCTCCACCTCTTCACCGGGTCCTTCCCCTTCGAGCCATATGGATGTCGATTTATAGAGATGCAAAGTCCGTTTGATGGGGCAGATTCGTAAATCATGGGCAGTGGATTGATTAATTGGTCCAAGGCCACTGAAGACCCTACCTTCTATTGCTATTGTTGTTGTTATGGTAATTGTTATCGCTCCTATCGAGGCCCCCCAAATCGGGAAGCCTTAGTAACTCGAGAAGTCTCCCCCCTTATAAGGAAGGGGGAGCTGAGTCTTCAAATCGCTTCGAGGAGGATGACTTATCCATCCATGATCTTGGTTGGGTAGCAATCACGAAGGATCTCCTTGGTGCTTGTTCATTAAATTTAGCACCAATGCCCTACACGAACCAAGGATGCTCGGATCTCCACCGACGATCTCTCCTCTGCGCCCGAGTTGCCCTGCTCATCCCTATGGGAAGATTGACGCGGGGGGTCCACGAGTGCTTCACCAGCTTGCCTTGCTTTATCAATTGCCTTGAACATATTTGCGTGAAGTCCATGTCCACAGCATATAAGAAAAGGGTTGAAATCAAAGCCAAAACTAAAACAAAAAAGGAGGAAGTGAGACACAAGATTGAGTTCTGCATCCATAATCCATTGCTCATTTGAAGATGCTAGTGGACTCGAATAAGTCAAGGGCAATCCAATGAAATTGCTCCTTCTTAGCCCCCAGCAACCTCCGGGGAGCATTGGCAAACTTTGGGTGGCCTAATACACGATAAAAGGCCACCTTTCCTCAAAGCTACATAAAAGAACCTACCTTTCTAGCCCTTATTGGAACTTTGTGCCCCTTTAACTTTACAATTGATTTAGGAAGAAAGAAAGTAAGCTATATCTCTAAAGCAAACGTTATAGTACAAATGCGGTAGGGTCAACATCGGGGTAATACTAAGCCTCCAACACTTCTAGTGAAGGTAATAAGATAGCGCTAAGAATTCGACGCTACCTGGGCAAGACAAAACTTCGAAACCTAGAAGGTTTCAACAAAGAAAGAATAGAGGGGGAATCAGAGTCCTGCCTACAGTGTGTTTGTGTATCTGCAGAGATAATAATTCTGTGTATAGGGCCAATCATTAGGCAGAGCAACAATCAACTCTAATTCGACCGAGATGTGGAAGGCTCCTCTAACGTGTGCTACTACTCTAGTGCTAATGCACAACTAGAAGTTAAATGATCTCGTCAAGGACTACGGGACTCCACTACCCAAGGGATTCGCCTCCGAATGGACATCCTCCCTCAGAGTAGCGACATTGACCCCTTCAAAGGAGGTAGTCTACCTAACCGACACCGATGGTGGTAACAAGCCCGATGACTCGTCTAAGTCCCAACCGAAGGATGAGGAAGAAGAGTTGGAAGTCATCTTTGACCTTCATAAGGGTTTTCTAAGTTCTCTAAGTGAACTTTGGGCTGCCCCTGGTGGACCATTCGTTTGTCAGATGATTCATATCGATGGATGACCTGGCAGCACCTCATTGGTCGAACATGATTCATCACAAAGATTGCCATCTTTCTGAATCCCTGGTGGTTTGGTTGGCTGCTACATGGAGTGCTCTCTAAATGGGCCACGTACACAAGGCATCATGTAATCATTGCAGAATGTCAAGGATCGAATCAAATTCAATTAGACACAACCACCGAAATAACACTCCAAAAATTTGAGGCAATAGGGATAACTCACACAAAGAGGCCAAATACATTGGCAGATCCATTACATAATCATCCCCGACACAATCTTGCATTTCAGGTCGAAATTCCCTTTTCCTGATACCACATCACTCTGAGACAGACACAGAGAGGACTTCCATTGGATTCTAATCAGCATCCGCATCAGACAATCAAAACCTTACTAAGCAAAATATAAGGCTGACTAGGTGTTGCTTGAGTGCCGGGTAATTTGCACTGAGAAGACATTTCAAAGTAACAAAACATTTACACATCTAAGGTGGTCCAGGAGATAAGGCCAACCATCGACTCAAATCCCTCAGCATCTTTCTGGCCCAAAGATATCATGACTGACTAAAGTCCAGAGCAACCGTATACAACCTCTAGAGGGCCAAAGAAAAAATCAAAAAGAAGATTTCAATACAATATTAATGTGAAACAAATTAAACAATATTCTAACCCAGGAGAAGATCCACAAAAATGCCAAAGTTGATGATGGACTACTTGCATATCATGATTAAAAAGCCTTATGGGCATTTATGTACCTCCTATTGTATCTCAAAATCAGTTAATATCTACAAAAATTTTACTTGTGCTCCAAACTAAAATCTTCAAGCAATGTGGGAAGTACAAAGAGAAAAAAAAATCTAACATTAGTCCTGCCTTGACCTTTGGGGATAATGCACATGAAAGAAAAAAACAAGGATTATATTCTTCTAATATAGGCAATCTCTGCTTGTCTATGCACAGTGCTTATTCCGCTTCAAAATCAATTGTCAATCACCATCTTCCACTAAAATATCAATTTCATAAACAAGCCAATTGCTTCCACTAACACAAACATTTAGGTCATGAATTTCCAAGATTAAAAAAAAAAAGTGGTCAAAATTTTCAGATCAAGAAAACCAATCTCCAAGATAGCAATGCACAAAATCTGGTGATTCCCCGCTTTAAATTAATCCCATTCATTCAACAAACGAAAAATAATTCCAGCATGCATGGTCAGACAGTATATATGCTGCAGGGATCCTTTAGAGCAATATGAACAGAACCATACGAAAACAAGGCCTGACCCAACAGGATGAAGAAATGTTGGAGAAACAATCCACTGGCAGGAGCAACATGAACTAAGAGTCCAGAAGAAATTCTTTAACCCTGTGTACAATCTCACAAAACAGGCTCTTCAAGAACAAATAATGATACCAATGTTCAATCTCATTGACCAAGTAAACATAAACTGCCCTTGGTGTTCAGAGGGCCATAAATATGATAAAGATGACATAGCCAGCAGAACCAGGCCTAGGTCAAGATCTTAGAGTGATCATCAAGTGGTAAATCATAGGTAAAAACACAATAAACAGCAGAAACAACCTAATAAGCATGAACACGTGATTTTGGTGGACATGTCCATGTCTAACACGTGTCAAAAACTTGGATACATACACACACATGTCAGACACTCGCATGCGGTACTGTGCTTGTGTGGCCCTCACGTGAGGGCCATATGCTTCACAAGAAAAGAAATCTGAAAATCGTCGCAAGGAAACATATATCAACTATATCAATTATTTGACGTACTCAACTTTTATTTTGGATACTTAAACTTAAATAATTTTAATTATTTCAACACGTATGATATTTTATAAAATTTATATATAAATACTATAAAATTCATGTTAATTGAATATACATACATATATATATATATATACATATACATGTCTCCTCACCTTGTCAGTGTCCTAATTTTTTAAAAAATGACATGTTGTCGTGTCCATGTCCATGCTTCTTAGGAAACAAGGACCAAAGTGTTGCCAAAAGCATCAAGGTTCCAAAACATATGAGATGTTAGGCACTTGCCCGAGCAATGTGAGATGCTCGCCAATGTAAAAATGATAAAAAAAAATATAATTAAGATTGTTAAAATAAAATTTATACAAAAATATGAGTTCCACAAAATTTCATATTCAAATTATCACCACTAAATATCAAATTGCATTCATTTAATCATCTACAAAACATTAAAGTGCTAAGTTATCCGAATCTAACAATAAAATAACAAAACGAAAGAAGATTAACATCAAGATTAACATTATTCAAAATTATAGTAAAAAATTAACAATTAAAAATTAACATCAAAAGTGACAATTCAAAATTCTAGCACAGGAGGGAGGAGGAAGAAGAGGGGGTTGTGGTCTGGGTGCAGGGAGGAGGAGCATGTTATCGGGGAACCGGGGACCTGCGACGAGGAGGGGCAGGACCAGCGATGAAACGGGGAAGAGGGAGGATGAGTTGTGGTCTGGGAGGGGAAGGGAGGGGTACGATGATGTCGGGGAAAGGGGCGAAGAGGGAGGAGGGAGGAGCTGTAGTCCGGAAGGGGAAACGAAGGGGGCGACCGCTACAAAGGTGGGAAGAGGGAGGGGCAGGATGCTGTCCGGGAAGGAGGGGGGAAGCTGCGACGAAGGGGGGAAGAGGGAGGATGGTTCAGGGGAGGTGGGGGGTGATGGTTTGGTGGGGTTTTGCGATGAAGGGGGTTAAGAGGGAGGATGGATCAGGGGAGGTGGGGCTGCGACGGCGGGGTTTGAACGTTTGGCCGGGGTTTGCGATGAAGGGGGAAAGAGGGAGGAGGGATCTGGGAAGGGGAGCTGATAGACAATGTTCCAAAACAGTATATCGGGGTCCGGGGTGGAGGAGGGTGCTAGAGAGAGAGAGAGAGAGAGAGAGAGAGAGAGAGAGAGAGAGAGAGA